ACAACTCAAACTTGAATTGTATGAACGTTTAAGCACTCTTCTCCTCCTCTTCGTTGCGGTACAAGGTCTAAGCACGGGTTTGATGGCTGGAATGTGTATGAATGCACGGGTTTGATGGCTGGAATGGATGTGTGATGATAGGGTAGTGTTTTAGAGGGATGGGGAGTGTTGGGAATGGAAGGAGGAAGTGCACGGCTTTTGGGCAGATTGGGAGATGGTAGGGGGAATTGCACGGCCCTTGGGCAGATTGTGTGAAGTGTGTATGAATAATGGTCCCTTTGTGGCTGCAATGGAGGTTTATTTATAGGTGGATGAATGATTAAAGAGGGAATATGACAGCTAGGGAGAGAATGTGGCTGCCATCATGAAGAGTGCATGGATGTGGCTGAATAATCACATGGGAAAGCATGTGGCTGAATGGGTTAAAGAAGGAATGATGATGGGAGAGCATGTGGGTGACAGCTAGGTTGGTTGGTGGCTGCAATGGAGGTGTGGAATGATGATGGGAGAGCATGTGGGTGCGGCTATGGTGGGAATTTTGGGCAGAAAATATCCTAAGGCTTTATTACTTAGTTTAGGAAAGAATGTAACTCCAAATCCCTAAGGCAAAGGAAACACAAAGTCTGAAATTAAAGGGAAAAACATGTAACTTGCGGCAAAGGAGTGCAAGAAAGGGAATGTGCTTTATTTCTGAAATTAGGCAAAGATTTTGGAATAGAAAAGGTATGTAAGTTGTGGCTGAGTTTGACATGAAAAGGGAATGTGTTTTAATGCTTTAGAATAGGAAAGAAGGCCCTCCCTTGCACGGCAAGGAAGGGAAACACCAAGGGGATACACGACATGGCTTAAGGTTGCAAGTTTTGTGACCTAGAATAGGTAGGAACCTTCTTTGACTAAGATTCCTCATTTGATTAGGAATCCTCTTCAATTTCGTCCATTCCTTTTGCTCCAAACGTAAGCTATCCATTCCAAGCCCAATTTTGCTCCAAAATGCTCCAAAATGCACCTTTTTGCTTCCTTAGCCATATGAACCTAGAAACACACGAAAATGGCATAAAGGACTAAAATAACTAAAGAAACACAACGTAAATGCTCGAGAACAAGCCAATTAAGTCGCATAAATATGCTCCTATCACTAACCAACCATATAGCAGCATTTATCACTTTTAATGTCACAATAACGATACTTGGCAATATAAGCATAAAAATGGAGTAAATACACATTTATGGAAACTATAACTACGTATAGGTATAAAAACAAACTGCCCACTCACAAATATGCAGTCGAAACGAAGCCTCTGAGCCTTGCTTGACCCCATACGTCCTCGGCATACGTATCATTCTATCATTTTAGTCACTATAGAAAATACAATAATAATATCAAATCATTATGCACATAGTGCCATATCACATCATCCCTTTACATGTTCATTATATCCTTCATAAATAGTAACTCACCACGTGACTCCTATTAGCCATTCTGACCTAATGTCCCTACGTACAGTCTACATTTATTCCTCAAATTAATGCAACACTAAAGTTCTCATGCTCCATGAACAATTCTAAATATCCACATATCACTATATTAATAATTCCGAAAGCATTTCCACAAATCCAACATGCTTGACTTGAAATAGAGATATTTTAAAATAAGTATAATTTGCAACACATTACATAAACCTCTCAACCCAACAGAAAAGAAATCACAGTGAAAAGTACGGATGGGTCGTCACAGCTAAGCCTCACAATGGACTAACAATAATGTGGTTCAAATTCACCTTTGACTAGAATCGAACCTAAGATCTCTCACTTACAAGTAAAGAAGAATACCATTAATCCGTAATACTAATTGGCCCTTATGAGGACATTAGTTTTTCATAATTTGTACAAGGGTTAGAGCCTATAAGTTATTAATGGCTTCTTTGTTGTTAGATACAGAGCATGGAACTTTTGGTTGCTGGAATCCTAACCTAAAATCTTTCCTTCCAAACTTGATTCAAAATACATGGAAATTTAAGTAGTAATCAAAAATTTATAATCGGTATGCACATTTGGTTTTAGGCATTTTAGAGTGGTTTAGGTGAATTTGATTCTTAGATAGTCTGAGTTGGACTTTCGTTACGTATAGACACACGCTTATAGTGCGAGTTTGATAAAGGTGAGTAGTGTAATACGAATATATTTTATAGACACACACTCATGAGTTCAATATATTGTTTAGAAAGACACTCATACTTCAATGTATTGTACTAAAAAAAAGAATTACTCTCATTGTACTCGTATTTTTTAGCCCACTCTAGAAGATATTGCTATATTAATGACATCATACTCAATTTTCGGCCCACTATCCAAGGCCTTAGGACTTCAAAAGTGGTTTAGGTCATTGTGATGTTTATGTATAAAAATCAAACACCATAAATTTGATTCGTATCATACTATTGCAGCACTGAGTTTGATAGAAGTGTGTTTTATATATTAAAAGTAAGACCCATCTACTCTCTTTCTTTTGCATTTTATGATTGGTTATTTCTCTTGTCATTTCTATTAACTCACAAGTTCAATTAAACTTTGAAAAAAAAAACAAAAAGAATCTCTCTCATAAAACTCATATTTTCCTCGACTATCAAAGGCCTTAGCCATTAGATATATTGCCCTGAATATCTACTATAAATAATTGTCTTGGGTCTTTTTCCTTGAGTATGAAATCGCTTATGAGGAAATGGGACATCTTTTTCTGTGACCGATATACTTTTAAAGTTGTTAGATATAATGCCCGATGTGCGATACCTCATTCTACTCAACAAAGTCGATATCTAGCCAAGTGAGCGATATCCCTTAGTATTAACATGTTGGATATCTTACTCGATGTGCGGTATCTCATTTTGCTCAACTGACTGAATGTCTTATAACCAGAAAGATCCACTTGAACACTTTAAACCGAGTAATGGACCAGACAATTTTCGACACAAAGTTTCAAGAGACAGATATTGTCAAATGTCAACTCCATACTACATATCGATCATCAACAGGGAAAATAATCTACGGTGAGTCCCAAGGAGCAACTCAGGAGAGCTCTCTGTCTGACTACTTTCCGATTGCTTGAGCCAAGTGGTGGGTCTGACAACTTTCGGATGCGTTACTCCCAAAGTGTAGACCTTCTCAAACTTTAACTCTCTTGCATGTGTTGATCTCCAATATTGCATGTAGGCCACTTGTCAGTTAAAGCCAACCCCCGGAATTAAGGCCCCAATATATAGCATTTGTATTGAGAGACTTTGTGAGCCTGACAAATATATAGCATACATTCTCAGTTGACGTAGCCCATTTCTTTGGAATGAATCACTTAAATCTTGTCGTTTTTACTCCCACAGCACAGGGTTGAGTATGCTTGACCTTACCATATTTGAGCATTAACACATTACATTGTCAATAGATAGTGATACGATGGTGTGACAATTTGCCCCAATGCATTACATGATATTGAAAAATTGAAATAATTTGCTACTCGACTGTATATGAAATACTAATTTCTAGTGGCAATAGTGACACGTTCCTTTCATTTCATGGGACAAGTCATTTTCCTTTGTGATTTTGCTTCAATAAAATTCCATTTTGTGATTTTAACCATTGCAGAGAACAAAAATTTATGGTGTTATGTAGTATACAATAATTCAAACTTTATAACTATTAGATTTAAATTTTATAATTTTATTAGAAGATTTAACGATTAAAATGTCTAAGAAATCCTATCACAAGAAACACGAAAAAAAAAATCCATTGTAAAATGAAATAGTTACAATTTACAGAGAAAGAGCATTCGTAGCCGCTGCTGTTCCCACTCGCAAAAAGGTTCGAACCCCAACAACAAAGTCAAAACCCTAATTAGAGGCAAATTAGACAATAACACGCGAAGCCGACCCCACCTCCGAAAACTGCCACTCCGTCCATTCCCGCGAAATTATCAACTCCCCCACTTTCTCTACGCACTTGTTCACGCACCTACATCGCGCGTTCAGATCAAACGCCTTCCGGAACCCAAAACTCTGCTCAAATACCTGGGCATTCCCGAAACCTGGGCAAATAACAAACCGGGAATACGACGCGAGCGGAACACTCGCGGGGAGTGCGTAGGTTAGGAGAAGCGCAGGAGAGCCATCCACCTGGTGCGCACATTAGCGGTAGGTGGGATATTATAGTGGGAGCATGAGGATTACGACGCTCCCTTCAGCTTGTTAATCTTTGACACGCACATACTCTCTCCCTCTGTGTCTAACACTAATACCCACGTCAGCTTTCAGGCACAGAGGATCAAAAATACAAATATAATGTTGTTTAAAATATTGTATACATGGGCATATTTATTATATATTTAAAAATACAAAAAGGAAAAAGAGATTTTTTTTTAATTAAGGGTTTATAATATATATTTTTTTTTAATTGACGATTATCTTCATTAAGGAGGAATGACTTAGCCTTATAATTACTAGCAATAATGTGGTTTATATTCGAACCTAAGACTTCACATTGACAAGTGAAGAGGAATACCACTAGATCGTAAGTCTATAATGATTTTGAATACAATCGATATTTCTAGGTTAATTTAAACTACATATCAATGAAATTCTCTTTGTCAACTAAAAGAGAAAAAAAAAGACATTTTGTCTTCTATTACAAAATAAAATTATGAACAATAATGAAATTTTGCACAAACTAAATTTACAGATTTTTTTTTTAAAAGTATAGTTACATGTGATCCTAACAAATCTTTAATTTAGAAAATAAAAACAAAAACAAAAACTCATCCCTGTTCCATGTTATCTGTCTCTCTCTCTCTCTCTCTCTCCCCCTCTCTCCTTCTCATTTTAAAAACAAAAATAAAAAATTATCCACCTACACAAGTTGTGTGAGCTTATGCTAGTTTGATTGAAAAGAAAGAGGGTTTGAAATTTAGACGGAGTACTAGATTCTCGAAAAAGGTTCTAACCACTAAATCAATGCACTACTTGCAATGATCAATAATTATATTGAATGGAAGTAATTATTACATCAATTTACATTAAGCACGATGGAGAAAATGTTTGAATTGGGGAAGCAGTGAGTCGATGAGTAAGATTTCAACCGACGAGTTGCAAGGGTGAATGATAATTAAGTCATTGGGATATATTTATTTATTTATTAATGAGTATGTTAAAGAAAGATTAGATTAGATGGGATTAGAAAGTTTGAAAGTTGTGTGTTTTATAAGCTGTCGTCGTGTTCTCTCTCTCTCTCTCTCTCTCTCGCTAAGTCGATGATGGGACTTGCAGAGCTGAGACTGTCGACCGAGAGCAGCATCAGCAGCTAGAGCTAGGGTTTTCGATTCCAAATCCATATCAATTCAGATATTCAGTGAGTTTCTGATCTTTTTTTTTTCTTTTGTTTATGTTTTTGTGTTTTTGTGGGAAGGACGAGGGGGAACTGGGAAGAGATGATTGGTTTCCGAGAAAAAGTAGAAGAAGAAGAAAAGTAAAGCAACTAGTTTGTTTTTAGTTGTTGATGCTCATGCAAGAAGATAAAAAAAAAAAGATGTTTGGTTGACTTGGTATCGTGTCTCAAAATATATGCCGTCCTTCCTCCTCTGCCTGCTTCTTCCATCTCTTTTTTCTCTCTGTGTGTTCATATGATCAACGTTTATAACTTTTGTTGTTAATCATATTGCATAAGTCGTAACCATATATGGAAATGGAACCTGTCCACTTCAGGAGAAACCTTGTGCAGTTTCAACGCCTAATACATTTTGTATGGTATATTTTTCGACAACCTTTCGTTTTGTTTCTGTCCTTAAAAGCATGGGAAACCCTTGTTACCTTGGCAACTCCACACTTCTGATAATTTCTTCAGAAGCTAGGGGTACTTGTCTGAGCTTCCGTCCCTTCCGAGTGTAGGGATATATACGTGTTTCTCTCTAATTTTTATCAATTCTTAATGCAGTTGTTTCTTGTTTTATTGTTAACTAATTGCAGTATATTATTAGTTACGTTGGAATTCATGTACAAATAGACCTTAGATGGATATCGGTTTTGGCATATCGATAGAGATTATAGATATCTGGTTTTCCAACTTCCCTCTTGCTGAAAAATTTTGGAGGTTTTACGATCAACATGCTTTTATATATGTAAAAATATTCATTGGGTTTCTTCCATTGCCAGTTGAAGAAGCATGAATTCTCCATCCACCCAGTTTGTCACCTCAAGAAGGATGGGAGTGTTTGAGCCTATCCACCAAATAAGCATGTGGGACGAAAGCTTTAGGAGTAGCGGTAATTTTAATGCCTCAGCATCCATGATACTGGATGAAGACACAAAACTAGATAACCAGGTGAACTTTTGAAATTTATGCCTTTTGTTCTTGTTTCCTTGCGCCCGCCCACATTAGTCCGTTTTCTCAGCTGTTGTGTTATCATTGGATTTCGCTAGTCAGAGGATGCTTCTCATGGAATTCTGGGACCTTCTAGCAAGTATGATCAAGAAGCAACTAAACCTACGGACAAGGTAAGAATTCCAGAATTCTGCTTCACACTCACGGTGATCTCTTTTCTTTCTTTAACAAAGCATGCAGGTAACTGTACTGCCCACATCGCTTCTGACTCTCTGTTGATGATTCTTCTTTATGATACATAGATATTTCTTTTCGATATACGCCCACTTCTCTTTTGTGCGTTGTCACGAAATACACATGTACCTGCAATTCCTCTTTTACTGTCATGCTTGCTTTGTTAATGTTCACGATTTCGGCGATTAGTCATGACTCATGAATGGAGATTGAGACTAATGAAGTATTAGCTGAAGTAACTGTCATTTTCCTTGTTCTAGTAATTCATCTTGGTAGTTAATGCTTTCACACCAGCAGCTTATACATTAGTTCTGTGTTGAATATTTAGGTGCAAAGACGTCTTGCACAAAATCGGGAGGCTGCTCGTAAAAGCCGGATGAGAAAGAAGGTAGGAAGTGTGCTATGTATTTGAAAGGATATGATACATGCAACCAGTGATGTAATGGACTAAGTTGATGAGTTTTCCAATACAGGCCTATGTTCAGCAGTTAGAAACAAGTCGTCTGAAGCTTATTCAATTAGAGCAAGAACTTGACCGGGTGAGACAACAGGTCAGGAGAAGCTTACTTTGCTTTTATGTGATTACAATTTATTGATTGATTCCAAAGAATAACAATTGATATAACTTCTTTACTTGTAAATTATAGCAGGGCGTGTATATCGGCGGTGGATTGGATACTAATCCTCTTGGATTTTCTGGCACCATAAACTCAGGTTTATTTGTTTGTCTGCATTTTGCCATATCTTCATTGTGTTGTGTCATTACCTTTATTACGTGTTTGAAAACAATTTTTTTTGCCCCTTCACCTTTGATTTTCAAGTCCTTGTATTCTAAAATTCGAAACTCCAAGTTCTGCAGGCATAACAACATTTGAGATGGAGTATGGACACTGGGTGGAAGAACAAAATAGGCAAAGTTGTGAACTGAGAAATGCTTTGAAGGCTTGTATAAGTGATGTAGAGCTTCGGTTCCTTGTGGATAACGGCATGAGTCACTATTTTGAACTTTTCAGCATGAAATCAACTGCTGCAAAAGCTGACGTTTTCTATGTGATGTCTGGGATGTGGAAAACATCAGCTGAACGGTTTTTCTCGTGGATTGGAGGGTTTCGCCCTTCAGAGCTTCTTAAGGTAATTTATGGTTTGACAGGATTCAAAAGTGAAGATAATATATGCATTTTTGTTCTCTGGACTTCTCGGGTTGCAGTAGAACTCATAATATTAGAGTTATTCATTAAAACCAAAAAGAATCAGCAATTATAGGATGTCAGTGGATCCAGTGTTTGCCCTGTAGGATGATTGTATGTTAACTTCATCTTCGGGATTTCAGACCTCAAAATGTTAGAGGGAATTAGAAATGCACATCATGAGCATTTTAGAGGGATTTGCAAATCAATACTTGGAATGATTCATTTACAAATCATTCGTACATGTCTTTGCAAGGCTCATGACTAGTCTCTGCTAACTAAAATTTTGTGGTTCATTCGTTACTAACTTGGCCTCAATCTCTTGCGATTTGGAAATCCCTCGCCAAAACGTGGCCTTATTATTCGTTTGGCATATTTTTTCAACACTAAGTTCCAGCACTGAGTACATATATTACAGGTTCTTCAGCCTCACCTTGACCCGTTGACAGACCAACAACTTTTGGATGTTCACAACCTTAGACAATCATGTCAACAAGCAGAAGATGCTCTTTCTCAAGGTATGGATAAACTCCAGCACACTCTGGCCGAGACTGTGGCAGCTTGTCAACTGGACGAAGGCAGTTATGTCCCGCAGATGGCTAATGCAATGGAGAGATTGGAAGCTCTCGTGAGCTTTGTGACCCAGGTAATGTTATATTCCATCCGCCTGTTTCCTGTTGGAGTTTTATTATTCCATGTTTTCTGACTAAATGATCTTTTTACCCAAACAGGCTGATCATCTTCGGCGGGAGACCTTACAGCAGATGTCACGCATCCTCACAACCCGCCAGGCTGCTCGAGGCCTTGCTGCCTTGGGAGAGTACTTCCATCGCCTTCGGGCTTTGAGCTCACTCTGGGCTAATCGTCCGCGTGAGCCTGCCTAACTTTAGCATCAAGAGCATTCAAAGTGTCGAGGCTCAATATATCAACAGGATAATTACTACCAGAAAAGAAACCAGAGGTGCTTTGGGTAATGTTGTCCATATCCATACATATGTAGACATAACATAATCCAAGCTGCTGAAAATTTTCAAGCAGCATCCCATATTTTCAGAAGCTGTAAACATGGAAAGTCATTTTATCTGCAGGAAGCTTCGATGTAAATAAGTTTATTTTCGATGTCTTTGTATGTTAGAAAACGAGATTTATAGAAGTTAGGATTTGAGTCTTATCGACGGAACTGGATCATGTAACGAGGTTATCGTTCTTCTTTGATGTGTACATGACCGTTAGCGAGGTTATCGTTGTGCCTTGAACATGAACGGTATTGTTCTGGAAAGGTTTGTTAAAATAGGTCTTGATAGTACGTACTTGATTGGTATGTATAGAAGCCATTCACCTGATGATGGACATTTGTTTTCAGTGGGGATGGGATGCTCGTTTTCAGGAATGTTGTCGAAATTTTCAGACTAGTGCGGGCATCGGAAAAGAAGTTTTCTACTTGCAACTAGTGTGAGCAATCAGAGCTGTCAGCGAGCTACTGAAAACAAATTTGTGGTGTCTGGCAAAGGTGGCTGGAGATTTCAAACTTGTGATCCTTTCTCTCTTTTGTGGGATCTGGATTTTTTTATTTAAAATTAAATACAAACAGTACCTAGTAATTTCCAATCACACGATGTACCATGAATGGATAGGATCCCTAGAACCCTCACAAAGAGGATCCGGAGCGGATCCTCATCCAATTTTGTGCTTCATGACACTGAAAAAATAAAATTAAAATAAAAAGCAACAGTGGAGGGTGTTGAAAAGCACTTCCGGCTTGGTAAATATTAAACTTTCATCCTTAACAAGGAACAAACATGCACGGCCTGTTTCACTCTTGTAATGGCCTCTAGCAATGAACTAAAGGAATCCATTTTGGTGCACAAATTTGTGTCTTCGCTCCTCATACATGGATTCGTTCCATCCAACGACTTCTAGACACCTTCGACAAGAAGATCAAGCTGCTCCTTCTCGTGCTATGTGAGCACGAAAGCTTGGGATTGAACTTCACATTATTCAAAGTTTTTTACAAAGCACATTATCAGGTTGGCTCTTCGTTGATTAGCCCTCACAACTTTGACATAGAGTAGTCCAAAGCATCGACAAGGAAATCTGCAGGCATACAATTACAATCTAAGTATGTATTCCAACCATAATAATGTAACCCGAGCACAATAATTTCATCATTTATACACAGCCACACACTCACAGTTAAGCATGGACGTCAACCATTCATACAAAATTTAACAGTTGAAAACATTATGTAGGACGGTAGGAAAAGATCGGAACATCGAAGATATCCGGACTCCCGCGTTTGGCATCATGGAATCAGTTTAATAGAGAATTTAGAAAAACTCCAGCATCACACCAAAGGTGCCTTGGAATCACTCCAAGGTTTCTGTGCCTTGCACACAAGCAGGAAATCCAGAATTTCCTTTCACTAACACGTATTTTAAAAGCTTATGCAGTAGCCATTTTTATAGGCTAATTGGTACTTGAATTTGGAAAGATCCACGTTAATAATGTAAATAGAGATAACAACTCACATGGCATAGTTACACCACCACATGATGTCATGTGCTAATGAAACAAGGACATGTGGACAAAAATTTACACATTTCTTTCTTTCATTGGCACAGGATGCCACCATGGCGGTGTACCTGTGCCATACAATTCCTCAATCGAGAGACTCAAAGACGATGAATTTGCAGACTACATGCGTAAACTGCATTTGTTACTTAAGCAGAAAGACTCTCATTTGTTGAACTTTTGACTTGGCTCCTCCATCACATGTCAATCATTTAAGGACTTGCCAAAGAATAATTGTATGCATGCATGTAATATACACCATGTGTGTGTCCTAGGTTGATTAGGCTGTTCTTTCTCAGCTCATAGAATGTTTTTCAGTTACCACTAATTTATACCAATGGTAAGAGATGACAAGTACCTGCATCTTGTTTGGTAAAACACATTGGTGGCTTTATCCTAAAAACATTTCCATGTAGTCCTCCTTTCCCAACTAGAACTCCGAGCTCTTCAATCAATAACCAAACTATGATTAGCATGTAAAAAGGAATTCCATGGAGGCAAATGTAAGCAGAGGGAGATAAATGTAACTTAAATTTTGAGCTTTGAAAAATAGAACTAACAGTATGAGCAGGGAGGGTGTCTTGATACCTCTGAGTTTCTCAAACAAAATGGCGGTTTCTGCCTTTGCAGGTGTCTTCTCTTTCCTGTCAGTAACAAGTTCTATCCCCACCATTAAGCCTCGGCCTCTGACATCTCCAATGACTGAAACAGCATTTAGAGGTCAAAGTATGGCACCACACCAGGAAGGGAAGTGCCAGTTTTTTAACTCAATCAGTTGCGACTCAACTGATTCTACTAGGCTTAGTGTAGTAAGCGGGCAAATTCAAGTTGGGACATTTAAAACACTAACAGGGTTATTTAAATGATACAGAGAAACTGTTCTATAACTAAAAAGAAAGCAAAAAAAGAGATATTTAAAACCAGTCGTGCATGTAATGATTAGGCGCTCAACCATTCTCCTGAAACATCCTTCTCACAGTTCCCTTCCGTGACCAAAATATTGTAAAAGGTTCGTTGAACCAATTTGTTCTTGAAAATCTATTTGTTTGTAACAATGATTGGGCATTATGAGCAGCGTTCATAAATATGTACAACTTTTTATGGAAAAAAAAGCAAGGGGCGATTTATTCATTACCTATACCAACTATTATAAGGTTTATTTCATAACGGTCATTGCCCTTGTAGTATGGTCCCTTAGATCCGTTAAGTATTTTGTTTATTTAAATAAAAATGAAAGAGAAGAGGAAGGAGACGAATAGATAGAAGGAAATCACCCCAAGTAGCAAACCCCACCATGTGAAGCCAACACCAAAAGCGCAAATAGACAAAGCCACAAAACAGCTAGACCACAAGCACTGAGCAGGCAGACCCAAAATGACACCAACAAAATCCCCTTAGAAACACAAAGAAAACAAGCATAAAACACGGACCAAAAACACAAAAATGTAGCTGGTGGAGAAAGCATTAACCCTACACTGCTGTCACAATGAATAGGCAATAGCATGGTAGTAGACCAAAATACCAACAACCGATTAAAGTACCAAGAAACCAAGACAACAAGAAGCGCCACCTACAAAACCTCCACCATGCCACAAACATATGAACCCTGACTTGCAACAAAAAAAACCTCATTTCCATTCTTTATGCAGATATCAAATCAAAAAAAAAAAAAAAAAAAGAAACAAAAATCACCCTAGTAATTAAAACCATCAAATTTATGGCCCTTAAAGACTTAGTACGGAATGGTTTCTCTCAAAGTGGACTCATCCCACGGTGGCAGAGTCTCAGCCCATGTGAATCAACGGATGAGGGAGATGATCACGTTAGTCCTCTGAAAACATTTGGAGACAAAGAGAACTGGAGCAATCAACTCAAATTTTCAGTGGCTTCCAACCTTTGCCTCCACCCAGCCACCAACAGTATATTCCATCATTTTGGAATAATGTTGGTGGAATACCACAAGGAGCATAGGATAGCTCTGCACTCCTCGATATTTAATCTTTGCTTAAATATAAAAGTATTAAACTGGCTCAGTGAACTTCTCAATCAATAAAGGGCCATGGGATATATAAGTGCTGGAAAATTCGTATTTAAATTAAAGAGAAAGCACTGAGTTCGAGGGTATTTACTTTCATATCTTTCCTGAAGGTCTCTCAAACGCCCAAGTAAGTGAGAGCCAACATCAGCGCAATGAACTTGACGCTTCTCCTTATCAATAACTCTTAGCACTGCAAGCCCTCCAGCAGAGCACACAGGGTTTCCACCAAAGGTGTTGAATTGAATCTTTTGCGCTAGTACACTTGCTATTTCTGGTGTTGTCACCACTGCTCCCAATGGCAATCCGTTTCCAATTCCCTAGAAGTAAATTAGGAATAAATTTTGTAAATTTGTAAGTTATTTCTTTTCACAACAGCCAAAGTCATCATCTATAGAAAAGGCTGGAAATGAGAATATACATCACAACCACATAGTACTGACATACACCAAAAAACATAATCCAATCCTTTCAATAGTGAAAGACAAAATCTCAATTGAAATATAAAGACCTTTGCCATGGTAACTATATCAGGAATGACATCCTGTGTTTCAAAGCCCCAATAATGGCTTCCTGTGCGGCCAAATCCAGTTTGTACTTCATCAGCAATGCAGACACCACCAGCCTTGCGAACAATGTCATAAACCAGTTTTAAATATCCAGGGGCCAGTTCAACTGCTCCTCCAACTCCCTAAAGTTAGATAAAGCAAAAATTACTTCATTAACTATCGGCATTCTCATCACAGAGTGTTCTATGTATCAATTTTTGGCCACATTAAAAACAATAGTAAGTACTGACCTGTATTGTTTCAGATATAAACCCAGCAACTTTTCCTGAAGTTCCATAGTCAATGTGATCTTGTACATCTTTAGCATAACCTTTGGCATCAGATCCAAAGATCCCATGGTAAGGATCTGGATTTACAACGTGATGAATTTCACCCTGCAATGAGAAATCAACAATCAAGTAGATAATGCAAAGAAATTGGCATCTCTCACCAAGCGTTCGTGTATGACGGATTATGTAGTTTTAAATTGGGCAACACTGGAAAAGTAGTAGTTATCCGAATGGTGAAGATTTGGCAAGTGTATGGACTGATGAATGTACATGGCATAAGCATATGTTAGAATGAGTTATAGACAATCTAATCATTGACTAGCAAGTTTTTTCAGTCATAGGACACCATCTACAGTGAATGTGTATAACTGTTATTTGAATAAGAATGGGGAAAAAATTAAATTCAGATATAGTCTTAATAACATTTGTAGAATTTTACTTTGAGAATGTTGCGCCTCCAAAACTACAAAACATGTTAGAAAGATGAAAAAGAAAAAATCATGGATAACTCTAGGTGTACATCAAGAGACCAAATTGAACAGCATACACACCAGTCGCCGGTAACAGTTGTTGGAATACTAAGGATATACATCCAATTAAAATTTGATAAATTGGTTAACTTAACCAAACCCCTTCCCTACCTGGCTACCTCCCCGAACAAAACTTTAGTTACCCCCACCAGGTTCTACACAGAACTAATAATGGCATATCAAGTTTAGATGTATTCTAAAAAGAGCATCCCTGGTGATGGAACTTTGGAGCAATGCTGACTAGTGATTATACAAACCTGTGGAATTGGATACTTCCATGTGTTCAAAGCCGTCAAACCAATTGTATTAGAACTTCCCCCATGATATGCATTTCTCAACGAAATCATACCGAGACTACCACTGTATAGACGAGCCATCAGCATTGCTAATTCATTTGCTTCTGTCCCAGAATTCACAAAGTAAACAACCTGCATTTTACAACCGTATATCTAATTAGTAGTTGGAGACAAGAAAAAAGTGATAATGAAGCACATAAAAAGGGTAAAGCACCTACCAGAAGTTCGACGAAGATGCCAAAATGAAGTACATGTTTCCAATTATAATACAACCATAGTTAGTTATTAAACTTCGCGATGCTTGAGATGAGCGAGTAATCGAACAACAGACCTTTAAATTTCCAGGCATTTTGGAAGCTAATGCCTCAGCAAAATCAGCTATTGCGTGGTGTAAGTAAATGGTTGTGGCATGCTGCAGAAGCTTGCTCTGTTCTATAATAGCATTCAAAACATCTGGATGGCAATGTCCACAAGAAACAGTTACTATCCCGGCGAAAGCGTCAAGATACCGCCTGCCATTCTCGTCGAACAAATATTGCATCTTCCCTTCAACAATATTGAGCTGTGCAAACAATGAGAAATGGAACTAATTTCAATTCCTGAGTCAATGAATTTAAAAACCCAAAACCCAAATCCAAAATCCAAAATCCGAATCCGTAGAGAAAGAGCAAACAAACAAACAAAAATACATACAGGGTTCTGATAATAATGGAAAAGAGAAGGACCCAGAAACTTTTTTCGCTTCTGGAATACTTGATCGGCTCGAGGTCCATTGTAAGGCCGAGGCTCGTAATCAAAAGGTGGCAGCAACGGTTTACCAACACCAGTAGCAGCAGAAGAAGAAGGAGCCGTAGTAGTAGAGAGAGATGGCCTGCGATAACAATGGTGGTAGTCAGCAATCTTGGCCTTAGCTTCTCCCCTTCCTCCTAAAGCTTTGTTCAAGAGCTGCCTCCGGAACGCCATGGATGATTTGATTCGATTTGATGAGAGAGAGAGAGAGAGAGAGTGAGAGATCAAAAGGCCAGAAAATCAGAATTATATTGAGTGGGGAAAGAAAATGGAGTGGATTGACCGAGGAGGAGGGGAGGAACAAGGAACTAGATTACAAAAAAGCAGCGTCGATGTTCAGTTCAGTGCGTCTGACTCGAAAGATTCCTTCGTATATCAACGGTCTATGAGGAGAGAGAAAGAAAGGACGGTTACTCACGTCACCTACGTAATTGGGTGAGATAATACTTGCTTCCGTTTCCCGGTGAGAATCTAATTAACTGGATATCACGGTATAGTGATATTTCTGTTTACTTGCAAGTAAGAGTTTTTAATATAGATAATATCATTTGTTTAAAATAAAATAAATAAATAACTGCACAATTGACAATTATTGCCTAGTGAACAAAAATTAACCAAATGTATGTCCTCTTCTTAAATAAATTGCTTAGTGCTGATGATCCATCTTATTGTTCTATTTTCTCATCCCTATTTTGATAAAAGTCTCAATATTATGGCCAATTTATTTGACAAAGGAGAGAGAGGGTGCGGCAAGAGAGGACAAAGTTTAGGAATTTCTCTGTATGTATGAGATGTGTTATTCTCCTTACACAATGCCTTTATTTATAATAGTAAAGAGGAGAAGAATACTTGTCCTCCATAAGGAAAAGTGGGTGACAAAGTGCAAAGTCAAATTAAACGTCTACAAGACATACATCAGGGATATGACCAACTCAAGATGGGTGCCTTGTCAAATCGTCTTTAGGTAGTAAAAACCCAAACGGAAAAATGCTCCTAATTGTAGGAAAAAAGAGTACATTAAGATCAAACGAGTATACTTCAGGATACTTCCCAGCTAACAATGTTACAACTCATAAAGTTTATTCATAACAATTCCTTGAACAAGCTTCTAGAACGTCATCTTTGGCAAAGATTTGGTGCAAAAGGTCAGCCAGGTTGTCCTGGGAGCGGATTTGCTTGATTTCAATCTTCTGATGCTCTTGTTACTGATGTGAGAAAAAGAACTTAGGTGAAATGTGCTTGGTGTTGTCTCCTTTGATGTATCCATTCTTAAGCGTTTCAATATATGTTGCTTTATCTTCATAGATTGTTGTAGGGACTTCAACGACGAAAGAAGGATCGCAAGTACTTCAAATAAGTCCATAACTACTCTCAGTCAAAAGCATTCCTGAGTAGTTTCATGTAAGGTGAGTATCTTAGCATGGTTCAAAGAAGTGGCAACTGAGGTATGTTTGGTTGACCTCCAAGATATTGTAGTGCCTCAAACAGTAAAGACGTAACACGTTTAAAAGCGCACCTTGTGTGGGTCGGATAAGTAATATGCATCAGCAAAACCAACAAGGCATGAATCAACTCAAGAATTGAGGGGGGCTGCAACACCTCTCAGGGATTCGTAGAAATATAACAAACTCAAATCCGTTATACCTTTGAGGTAATGGAAGATGTTTTTAACACTTGTCCAATGTTTGCATGTGGGCGCATTGCTGTATCTTGCCAAAAAATTGACAATGAAGGAGATGTCAGGGTCTAGTGCACTTAGCTAAGTACAATAAAGTGCCTATCACACTTAGACATGGAACTTCAAGTTCCAAATTCTCTTTTTCATCTTTCTTTGGATGGAAGGAATCTCGTTTGGCATCTAGCGATTGAATGACCATAGGAGTACTCAAAGGCTTCGCTTTATTCTCATTAAAATAACGCAACACCTTCTGGGTGTAGTTCGACTAATGTACTAGGATTCCATTCGAACAATGCTCGATCTCCAGGCCGAAACCATATTAAGTTTTCTGAAAATCTTTCATCTCAAATTCTGACTTCAGGTGTGCGACAATTTTCTCAAGTTTTTCAAAAGTCCCGATGAGATTCATCTCAGATTCATCTCATCTACATAAACTACAATGATCGCAAATCCTGAATGTGACTTCTTAATGAACACGCAAGGGCATAGTTTGTTGTTCACATATCCCTGACTTATCAAATACTCACTCTGACGATTATAACACATCCAAACGGATTGCTTCAATCTATAGAGTGAACGCCTCAGCCGAATAGAAAGGGTGTTTCATGGTTTAGAATTATTTGATCTAGTCAATATAAGTCTTTCGGAAACTTTCATATAGATTTCCGTATCAAGATCCCCATAAAGATGCACTATTACCATGTCCATAAGCTGCATATCCAGTTTTTTGGAAACTAGCAAACTGATAAGATAGCGGAAAGTAATCACATCCACTATGAGCGAATACGTTTCAATTTTCATCATAATTAATCACAGGGCATTGAGAGAAGCCTTGCACCACAAGATGTGCTTTGTATCGCACTATTTCATTCCTCTTATTACACTTCCTTACAAAAACCCACTTGTAGCCAACGGGCTTAACATGTGGTGTAGGAGTTACGAGGCGTTTCGCAAGAGAATCGAGTTCGACTTAGATTGCTTGGTTCCAGTTTGACCAATCAGTTCTACAGTGACATTCTTCAATGGAACAAGGTTTAATGTCATTGCTTAGCATAATCTCAGTAACTGCTGCCTATGCTAATGCATCGCCGATTATCATCTCATTTCTACACCAAACATTATCCAAGCTAGTATAGTGGACCGAAATCTCTCGATTCTCGAGAGATGGATTTGTCTATTCCAAGGCCCTTTTATAATCTATAATATCTTCATGTGTTTGATAGAATAAGTAAGCAATGGTCAAATTCATGGTACGATTAACAGCTTGTGTTGTGGGTTTCCCCTTCTGAGGTTGTGAATCATTTAAACCAAAGGGTTTGCCAAGCTTCTAGGTAGGAGCAAAGGTTTGGTTAGCCACCAAAGTATAGAGGTCCGCCACGGGGGTGTCTCGTCCTTCCAAGAAGGAAGTTTGTCGTACATTTGGTACATCCATCTTTGTAGGCACGTTTGTAGCTGGTATATGTGATCTCTTTACTCTCGTTAGATCAATGAAAGCATATGGCATACTTTGAGCTTCGCTCTATCTAGGATGCATCGCACTTCAGTCTCAAACTAGGTGGTGTAGATATCTAAATGAGATAAAGTATGAGTCGTCCATGATAATTCACATCATTATTCAGGACTGTTGACATTTTTATCTCCCCCTAACGACTAGAAAACTATCTCATAGAAGTGACAATCTACGAAACGAGTGGTAAAGAGATTGCATGTCAAAGGTTCTAAGTAATGAATGATAAAAGGAGAATCATAATCGACATAGATTCTCATCCTTCTCTGATAACTTATTTTAGTATGTAAGGGCGGTGCAATCGGCACAAAAATCACACAACCAAAAACGTTTATCGCATGTCGGGTTTGTATCTGGTAACCAACTGAAGGGCATTATATGGTTGGGTCGCGACAAGCCTCAAATGAACCAACATAGCCGCGTGCAATATTGCATAACCCAAAGCAGCGATCAGGAGCTTGGTATGTATGACCAATGATTGAGCAATCATTTGAAAGCGCTTAATGAAAGCTTCTGTCAGGTGGTTTTGAGTATGAACATAAGGTACTAGATGTTCAACTTCAATCCCAACCGACATGCTGGATGTTCAAGTTCAGGGCGCACAACCCTGATTATCCGATCAAATCTATTCGATTGAATATTGCTAGAGGACAGTTTTCAATGTGAGTTCTCCAACATTATCCAATCGAATAAATTTGATTAGATAATCAGGGTGGTGAGCCCTGAACTTGATAACCTGAGCCAACAATTTGAAGAATACAACGTTTTTTGTAGACAATAAGCACATGTGCGGCCAACGTGTGGAAGCGTCAACCAATACCATAAAGTATCTAAATGGTTCGCAAGGTGGTTGAATTAGTCCGCCAATATCCTCCTAAATTCTTTGTAGAAAAGTAGGAGGATAAGAATGAATCTTATCATAGGAAAGTTGAAGGATGAGCTTTCTCATAAAGCAGGTTTGGCATGCTATATCCTTTTGGATCGTGCCTAAGCTTCGCGTTAGGGGATCCCCGTGTGAAGATTTGAGGATCACGCATCACAACTCGTCTAGGATGTCCTAAACGGCCACACTAAAGCAAAATTTTGTATGCAATCCTTAAGGTAGGGCCAGCCACATAGTGGCATTCAATGGGCATATGGTTGTAGTATACAATTCACTCGGGATACGCTCCATCTTCTCTAGAATACGTTTCTAGCCATATTCAGAGGAAGTGATGCACAAAAATTCAGCTCCATTTTCTACATAGGTTTCAGCGTGATAGTTATTCTCTCGAGTATCTTTAAAGCTCAACTACGTTCTTACAGAACGTGGAGCATAAAGTGTCTCTTTAATGGTCAATTTAGTGCCATTGGACAACACTATACGGGCCTGTCCGTATCCTTCGATCAAGTTGGATGGACCTGAGAGGGTGCATTCTTAGGTACGAAGTTAGTGAAATAGGTGCATTCAACGGTGTGCGTGGTTGCACTATTTGCAAGACAACTAACTTCCCTACTAGTCATATCTAGAAATAAATTAATTGAATTGTCACATACATAAAAGGTTCGTAAACATAAATTTTATTCAATTCATTATTCGAGAAAATAATCCATAAAACTTAATATCCAAAATTAAGACAAACACCAACAAAATAATCCAGACATAAAAGGAAATTGTTCAAAACTTGAACCAAAAAATAACATAGGGGTTCGCCCAACATAGGGAATTCGGCTCATGGGGTAAAATTTGGCCAAATGTGGGCCTATGACCAAGAATCTAATCTTCCATCGGGGCAACATCCTCCTGAAAGTCAGATACCTCCATCTTTGTGTTCTTTGGTTCATCTACTTGAGCAAAGTTTGATTAAAACCTCTTACGACAAGAATAATACTCAGCTACGACCATGGGAAGAGCTCGACAAACATTGGACAATGGTCCTTCGAACCACAACGGTAGTGTTGTACTTTTATGCACAAACATAAGCAAATTCTATCAAAGTACCAAATATCAACATTATATGTGAAAACTAAAAACAATCTCAAAAGAACACAAAATATTTACATGATTTGGCGTAAGGCCAACGTCCACGGGTGAAGCACGGTGAGGAATTTCACTAAACAAATAGAGATTACAAAAGAGTGTTTAACTCTTTTAACCCAAATCTCAAAAATTACCAGTATTCTTAAAATCGGCCTATGCAACCGCATAGGTGCTAGACGGTGAAGGGCCACCGTGATTCAATGCAAATCATTTCAAAAAATCGGTTTGGAGCTAGGCAGCCGCTTAGGCGGTCCTAGGTAGTTTGATTTTTTTTATTTTTTAATTAATCGTGTGCTTTTTTCTTTTTTAGTTTCATAGTGGTATACTTGTGGAAATGGTGTACCTAATTTGCAAAGGATGGACTAATTACAAGTTCATCCAATTGTGAAATGAATTAGAGCACTTTTGAAGGGATATAAAGAAAAGAAATAAACTAGATACAAAAAGGTTATATAATTTAGTCTATGTCCAATTCAATGCAAGGATCATGAATAAGAAAAATTTAGTCCATCATCCAAGAATAGTCCTAATTATGATTATATGTTTACTGTTTTTTAAATATTGAATTTGTTGGATGGATGTACTTTATTGTATTCTTCAACTTCTATTTTTGCATTTTATCATTCTTTTATTATCCATACAAGTGTATATATATAGTTTAAGTGTAAATAAGCACTTATTTACAAAATATACAATAAATTTACATAAATTCGCCTAGGCGCTAGGCCTCTGCCCACTGCCCGACTAGCACCTAGCGTTTTTTAAAACCTTGCAAATTACAAACCTTAAACCAAATGAGTAGAGAACTCAAACAAATAAAGAAGATTCTCCCAAATTGTTCTCTGACTTACAAACTGGTTCTCACCAAATTGTCGAATGAATGAGCCATGAATTTGCCACTCATGACTCCAACCAGTGACCTCCACCCAAAACCCAATTAGAGAAAACTAGCTAAACTAATGGTAAGGCACACAAAATAAACTAACCCTAAGGTCTTATTTATAGCGCATAGGACTTAGGTTACAATGAGAATACTAATCCTAATTGGAAGTAAAATCCAAATCCTAATCAAATAGGTAATTAACAAAATATCTACACCAAGCAAGGAATCCAACCAAGAAGTCAAATCCAAATTCAAATACAACACCAAACAAAATAGGTAACACAAACCTAATTTATGCATCATCCTAATTTAGAGCCGTAAATCTCATCAATCTCCACCCCGGCGAAAAATTAGCAAACTTCAAAATCAAATACAAACTTCAAATGGAATAACAAATACAAACACAAAGTGATCACCAAGTTCTTTCGAAATTGATCTCCACCACGACTCAAAAAATCCAAAAGTCTTCAAATCTTGAAATTTCCTTCTATGCCTTCTCCAACAAATCCCATTACGGAAACTAACAAATTGAGCCAAAAGTTCTATACAAAGCTTTGAACAAATGAACCAAAAAGTGCGAACACTTCAAGAAAGTCTCGAACATCAAACTCCACCTTATGACAAATGCAGAGTGAACAAACATTGCCTCAAAGACAAACAAAGGATTTGATATACAAACTCCCAAGATCATTCCTCCCATCAAATTCTTCGAATATCAAATTTCGCCAATGATACAAAAAACTTCATAATGATTGGCAAGCAAAGCCTAAGCCGAAACCTAGCTCTGATACCACTTGTACTTTTATGCACAAACGGAAGCGAATGCTAACAAAGTACCAAATATCAACATCATATGCAAAAACTAAAAACTACCTCAAAAGAACACAAGATTTACGTGGTTTAGCGTAAAGCCTACGTCCACGGGCAAAGCACGGCGAGGAATTTCACTAAACAAACAAAGATTACAAAAGAGTGTTTTAACTCTCACAACCCAAATCCCACAAATTACAAACCTTGAACCAAACAAGTAGAGAACTCAACCAAACAGAATTCTCCCAAATTGTTCTCTAACTTATAAGTTGGTTTTCACCATATTGCCGAATGAATGAGCCATGAATTTGCCACACACTCATGACTCCAAACGGTGCCCTCCACCCAAAACCCAATTTAGAGAAAACTCTCTAAACGAATGGTGTGGCACACAAAATAAACTAACCCTAAGGTTATAGTGCATAGGACTTAGGTTACAATGAGAATTCTAATCCTAATTGGAAGTAAAATCCAAATCCTAATCAAATAGGTAATTAACAAAATCTCTCCACCAAGCAAGGAATCCAACCAAGAAGTCAAATTCAAACTCAAATAGGACACCAAACAAAATAGGTAACACAAACTTAATTTCTGCATCATCCTAATTTTGAGCCGTAAATCCCAACAAGTAGCACATGTCCATATCCATGATGTCAGGTGCTTTTCCCTTATTCTTGAAGTTTGAGGCCTTAGGAGCAAGGTTCACTTCTGGGGCCTGGTTTCCTCCTTTAGGTGAGCCTTGGCTCTAGCTTCTGGCTGTGCCTACCACACTTGGAATGGCAGTTCGGGCATCAATTTTCGCTATTGTGTTCTTCAGGCGCAGCGGTCCCTCCAATAGGTCGAGCTTGATGATTCTTCATCAACAGTTGTTTCCGCTTTTCAATAAGAAGTAAAACAGTGATCAAATCTGAAAAACTTAGTGAACTTCTGAGCCCCATATTGTTGCTACAAGACAATATTGATCGCAAAGAAGGTTGAATAGGTCTTCTCCAGGAAATCCTCCTCTATCAAGTCCTCGTTATAGAACTTGAGAAGTGATTGGATCAAACAAACTTCAGAACTGTATTCATTCACAAACTTAAAGTCTTGATAGCGTAAATACTGCCAGTTGTGTCTTGCTTTAAGGGCAAGAAGATGTATCTTTGGTGATCGAAACGATCTGCCAAAGCGACCCATAAAGTTCATGTATTTTCCTCAGCAAGGTAGCATCATGAGTGTGTCTTTGAATGGTATCAAAGCCTATGACTTCATATTTGACATATTCTTTTGATTTTTGGTGGCATAGAAAATTAATTTGAAGTTTTATAGCAATAAAATTGTCTTTACTACCATTTCAACCACCATTGCTACAAACACCACTCTTACCTCAACCACCATGTCTACTATCGGTCCACCCCAACCAGCATTCAAAGCGCTGACAAGCCCCCTTCCGTTGATCTCTTCTTCCCTTCGTCCTCTCTACAAACCACATGCATGCTGACTTTGAGCCAGCCCTAAGTCGAAACCGATATCTTCTTCCCCTTTTCCGATTGAATCCTTGGTTACCAACGCCTTCGTCTGGTTGGTCCTCATCTTCGCATCCGAGATCGGTCTCGCCAGATGATCCGTCTTCTTCAGCATCGAAAAATACGCCATGTCAATGTTTGGTCATGAAGATTGGGAGGACGAGAAACAAAGGTAGTTTAGGGAAAGGGGAGGTCGAGGGTAAACGGAGTTTGGGTACTTTTTTTTTTTTTTGTCATTTTAATTGTTAACAATTAAAGATTTAAAAGCAATTTTGAATTTCATACCAAACAAGTGTTTTTAATAGGTTACAAAACATGGCGTAATTTTCTCGCAAACCTGTTAAATAATTTACAGACAGAGACTCTCCCGAATATACAAAATCCTCCTGAGGTTTGAATTAATGAAGTGACTCACATTAGCGGGAGATAAGCGCCACCATGACCTTTCCTGAGTACAAGTGGTCCAACATTGTCCGGAACCCTATCTAATGCGTTCATGCATGCATCGATGACATCCCCAAAGCCAGTAGCCAGAGTAGCCAGTTGTAACCGCAGCTTCAAATCTCTCGTCCTTCTCAACAAGCATCTAAACGACCTCCCCAGATACTTGGCCCATTCAGCTGGCAACCCTCCCCCCGTTAGCCAAACCGAGAATTGGGATTGGTCCCCTCTCGCTGCCACCTCTGCCCTATAAAATCTTGCTAGATCAGCAAGCATCGAAGGCTGGAGAGGAAGAACGGCCACAAATTCAGCCACAAACTCTTCCATTACTTCCGGTTTCAGCATCTGGTTCCAAAGTACCAAAGCCCACTCACTTGGCTGATTAAGGCCATAGGCTTCAGCAACAATGAGGGCTTCTTGAAAACGAGACTGTTCAACAAGGGCCCGCCTGGCATTGGTTTCTGAACGGTACAGCCACTGGAAGTCAGGCATTCGAATTTGAAGGGACACAAGGGAAGCCTGAGCGCATGCAGCGCGTGTTTTGTTGCCAGCATCGATGGATTTGTGAACTTCAGCAGCTTCAATGTAAAACCGCATAGAGTCTAAAAGATCTTCATTCTGATCCTTGTCATAACGGCCATACCACTGCTCAGATGACTGCTCCGCTCGTAACTCTAAGAGAGCAGCCGTTTCATGTTTCATGTCAAAATGATTGTAGACCTGACAAAAATGGTATAAAGATAACAGCTCTTGTATTAGATAGTTGTTTCAGAGACATATGTAGGCTATTAATTTATTTTATAGCCTGGATTAAGCTGCAATCCAGTACTAAAATATCAAACATATAATTGATCAAGTATTACGTTGGCTTAATAACGCTCTTTAATGAGAATTTTCCACATAAATTTACTGTACCATATAAGCCGTAAGGGTCACAAGAAATCAAGACTGCATATACTAACCATAGCAAAGGCATCAAGGTCATTTGGATTGAAATGCTTGAGTGATGTGAGAACAGCCATTCGAAACCCTCTAACAGCCTCAGCAGTGCCAGAACTTGCATCTGCTGCAGCAGAATACTTCTGAAGAAGGAGATCCAGTTGACCATTTTCTATCAGAATTCCAAGAATGAAATTGAGGGCATGGAAGTTTCCTACTCCAGTTATGAGACGGGCCAAACATGAAAAATCACCCTCAGAGACATACGCTTCTACCCTAGTAGCTGCGAGGGCTACAAGAACATCAACTCCATCAAGGCAAGATGATAATTTGTAGAAGTGGTGGGACAAAATTAGAAGCTCAACCTGAAAACACGATTGAAAGCCAAAAAAGCATTAGCGCTTGAACATGAAAGATGGTCCAATTAACCGTATCAATAATTGATCCTTTTCAATAATCTTCCTGTGTCCACTCTCTTAGTTTCCCCTTCTCACTCTAAGGGACCCTCTGGGTGGAGCCATTCCAAATTAAGGCATTTTGATGACATTATCAGGTTTAATTGTTTGTTTAGACGACTACAATCCACATATGCCAAGATTCGAATAAGAAGACGAGGAAGACAACAAATAGATTCAATACGTGATGGTTTGATTGTAAATGTTCAGCTTAATATTGTCGGGCTCGTTGTTTGACAGCGTAACCTTTTCAGACTCAACAATAACATCAAGATATATCAGTACCTCACAGGCATGTGGTACTTCTTGTCCGGTAATAACCAAACGCATCAATGCATGTCCAATTTCTTGCTCAGAAGAGCAAAGCTCTGCCCACTTCAAGAAGTCTGAAAATCTCCACAATAAAGGAGCAGGTCCTTCTTCCTTTTGAGAATCCATATACCCTCCACGATGAGCAGCCAATAAGCCCTGAAACATAATTTTGACATACTTTTAAAGCCATTTTGTTGTCCAAAATGTAACTACCATTAGGTAGAACATACTGCACAAAGCGTAGTCAAAATCCAAAATGAAACTATATTCCATAAGTGAATCATGTACGTGTTCATGTACAGGTCAAGATTCAAGAAATACACAAGCCAAATTCAAGCTATTTTCTTACTAATAAAAAAAAATTACATAGAAAATGAAAAATTAATCACGCATTAAGAAGAAAAGTGTAAATCTAAAGGGTCCTACAATAAGCTACAACTTTATTTTTTCACCCTGAAAAGAAAAATATTTTTATTAATACCAAAGGCAATTATGAAGTGTCGATACTGTATCCACAATCTGAATATCTAGCCTCAAGTAAAATACTGGACCTCTCAAATAGAGCCAAGTTACAAAAACCTCAAGACTTGAAACCTAAATTCATTTGACAGCTGCTAACACAGCCATCATTATACAAGAGTTACAATATGTCACATAAAATATTAAAAACTATACTGTCAATGGTTAATAAGTGGTTTCATATTTGAATTTTCAATTTTTTGCCTACACATCTTGTATGCGAACCAAATTGATTATCAATTACAGCTGTGGAGATTTCCTAACAACAAGAGTTATTGTAAAAAACTTGATACAAATACGATACAGTAATTGACAGAGAAGGGATAGATGGCTTGTCTTTGCTTTCTTTGAAATCAATTCATTACCAAAACAACTGGATAACATAACACCCAGAAAATAACCAATCAAAATTGAGTAAGAGAGAGAAGAAAAAACAAACACCTTAGGAAGAGAAACTTATAAAAATCTAAAAGATGAAAACTGTTGAACATATTTATTGAAGGGGAACTATAGATAGTTCAATTAGGGTTCAGCACTTGTGTTGTCTTCTAGACTGTTTATTGTATTGTCAATTAAATTACTGTTGGCACACGAGAACCATTTTTTTTCAGCTCACGATTATATAGACTATGGAAGTGGTTCAAGTAAAGGTGACAACAACAATGGTAAAATATAATTTGCCGGTTATATAAGCAACTTTCTAGATTCACAATTAGGCGAATCATGCCTGAATGTGTGCCAGGGAAGGGGGGGGGGGGGGTGGGGTGGTTTATACACACAGAGTATTTTGTATTGGCAAGTCACCATTTCTCATGTATTTATATATACCCTTGAAGGAAGTTGAGGTTCCACCCTAAAACCAACTGGAAATTAGGGGAGTGGCCCAACCCCTTACAAGCACATGGAAGGTCCCTTAATTCCATAATGTGGGATTCATAATCTCAACAATACTACACATTTTGCATATGTATATGGATATACACAAATTTTCTGTTCACAATGAGACAACGAATGTGTCTAACACCACGAATGCTGACTTCATCTCCCCCCCCCCCCCAACAAAAACAGAAAAAAAAAAAAAAAAAAAAAAAACCAGTTGAACATAAAACAAGCGAACAGGTAAATATTTTTAAACAAACCTTTAGAAAGGATTCTGCAAGAATTTGAGCAATACTGGCCGCTGGCATTGAATGAGTTCTTACAAGGAGATGCGCCTCCTCAAATGACTCCTGTGCTTTAAGGGAAAGTAGCTGTAGTAATTCAATTGGCTGCTTATCAAATGCCTCGGAAAATGAAATGCCTAAGATGGTTGCAGCTTTGGCGACTGCTATTATCTTCTTGCAAATTCCACGCCCACAACCTTCAGAAAGATTGGTTGCAAGACTCTCCAAAACCTTCGATATTCAGAATATCACGTTAATTTAAGGACATTAAGAGCATCATCCAAGTAACCAAAACAATATTGGGTCTCTGTTAGAAGAGAAAGAAGGGGTAGACCACAAATAGCCATTAAGAAAGCTATTGAGCTTGAACTAAAAGTTTCAAATTAAAAAACCAAGTATTTACTTGAGCCGTGCTAGCAACCGAGTATTAGCTCAGGTGCTCAATCAGTCAAAGTCTTTTGATTAAGTCACACGTCCCATTTTTGATATTGCTTTTGTTTTCTTGTTTTGAAAACTACTTTTTTCTAATTAATTACAGAGCTGCAACTGAAGTCCAAATTTTATTTTATTCCATCTTCCTCAAATCATATGATGGAATAGGGTCCCCAAAAGCTGAAACTTGCAGCACAGTAAGAATCAGAAAATATGCTCTAATGAAGTAAAAAGCACAAACATCTTGCTGGAAATAAAAAAGAAATATAGACAAGTTGACCACTACCAAATAGAGCTTCCAATAAAGAAAACTTTAGATACCCATAATCCCAGATAATGAATTAACCGACTATATTAGACGCAAGAAGTTGCAATTCAGGATGAAAAGTTTGATGGGAAATTCCACGCTGTGATGTTTGAAGAACTGAGGGTTGAAAAGAAAATCAGTGGCAGCTCTGTCATTATTTAGAAAAATCAGTCTCTGAAACAAGGAACAAAAGCAATGTAAAAGTTGCAGAAGTGGCTTAACTAAAAGCTTTTGCCTGATTTAGAGCCTGTGCCAGCATATGTTGCTAGCACGGAATTTACACTTTATACATGTGAAGAGAACATGAACAAAACCAAAAAATAAAAAAAATAAAAAAAAAAAGAAAAAAAAGAAAAAAAAAGAATAAACATAGCGTGCACGAGAAGGAGAGAGAGATGAGAGAAGGGCAGATTTGCAAAATAACCTGCACTGGGTCAACTTGATGCTGTTCATTCAGTATGTTGTACGATTGCATAACAGAACGCACCTCCTCATCTAGCATTGATAAGGATACTTTCTTACTTGAAGACATTCCTGCAAGTTTCAATGCAGCATCCACAACTACAAATTCATATGGGATTTTATCTGGAGATAGCTTATGCTGGAGTTGCTTTGCAGCTGCTATTTGTCCAAATTCCAATAAGGAAAGAACAGCACTTTCTGGCTCTGCTGGTCCTACCCCTTCCTCCCATCGTGAAAAAGACATTTCCATTTTTATGTTTTCGTCCTGAGATTGCAAATCACTTCTAACGCTGGGAGGGTTGGAACCATCATGAAGATCAGTGTGCTTCTCTACCGCATCAAGTGGTGGCCGTCTTAACGGCCCGTAGCCTTTTGTCCTCCGCTTAGTCTTTGTACTCCCCCCTGTGGTCATTGGAAAGCTAGTATCTAATACATAGTTCTTGTTATGTGCCTGGTTATTTTCTCTCAGATCATGTTTCTCAACCGTTCTATTCTTAAATGTACCAACATGATTGTCCATTTTTGTTATTAGACATGCAGTCCGGTCAATAATACTGGAGCTATTTTTCATAATTGGGTCACGGCTGGAACTGCTTAAATTGAAGTCTCCTTCATCCTTAATGTGTGCTTCTGATTCTACTGCCAAGAGCCACACTTTAGTCTCGATTTCTCGAATAAGATGAAGTGGATAAGCTCTGGAAAATTGATTACCCCAATTAGTGAAGTTATTAAACAAAGACATAACAACTAAATAAAATGTGTTGTATGTAACGTACGGACTGGATAGGGTTATCATCCCGCTTAACCATTGTAGAGAAAGCAGCAACAGCTCATGAAGCTCTCTAGCTGGAAGATCTTTTTCCAAAGCTTCTGCATGTTTCAGGAAAAATAACCCAGCCTGGAAACCACATCATAGCAAATACTCTCACAAAATAAACAAGACACTGTAAATGAATTTTGGTTCAAAACTGTTTCAAATACAAGGACAAAGTACCTGTGAAGCTGGGAAAGAGTATCTGATGAACAACGTTTGGCAATGGCCCCATAATGCAATTCTCTCCTCTGGAACATCCCAAAGAAACTCCTTCCATTCAGCTACCATTGATTCAGCCTAAATTGGTAAACAGTAGAAAAAAAAAAGGAGAAAGAGGTCAGAAAGAGGTCAGAATATTCTCAGGATTTAGGTGATGCAATATTACCATGTTCACATTCCTTAACCGAGGATCACATTTTGACCAAGGGAACCTAAAGCATACATACATATTACAAATTTTGAAGAAAACATAAACAAAGAAAATACCTGCAACCAACCTTACTAGATAATCAATCATTATCTGTCAACTGATTAATACTGATAGCTAACCCATACCTTTCCTAGTTTCCTTCTATAAATTATAGTGTGCTTAGGATAGATGACCTGAAGAACGTTGGGGTTCCACCATAAAACCAATTGACAATATGGGGAGTAGCCCAACTACTTATAAGCACATGCAAGGTCCCTCATTCCTTCGAAGTGGGATTCACTCTCAACACGCCCCCTCACGTGTGGCGCATTATCGAGCCTAGCATGTGGACAACACAAAACCAATTGGCAATATGGGGAGTAGCCCAAATACTTGTAAGCATAAGCAAAGCTTCCTCCTTTCCCCAGTGTGGGATTCACTCTCAACATAACCCATACAGTTCTGATGCGTACATGAGGTATCTCCATATGCTCTTTTAAACCTTTTTATTTTTCTCAAAAATAGTCATGGTTCTCAGTAGATGGGTTGCAATGTGCAATATTGTCAAGGAACTATCCAATTTTTGGAAACTAAAAACGGGTATAAATAAGATTAGAAGGTGCATCCTCTCCTATTTCCATACTATCCAATTGTTTATTACGGCAGATATCCAGGAAATATAACCATATCTAACACCAATCAGGCATCTGTAGAAACTTACTAGAGACATAGGTTCAAAATTTTCAGACCCTTGGGAGATGATATTTGTATACAAGAATGTAGAATAATCACAGTTTCAGTTAAGTTCTCCTAAATAAAGTGCCTATCAATCTCAACATATTTAGTAATACCAATAGCTTCCTAATTGTCGCAACATAGCTTCATTGGATCCCTATGAGCAATACTGATAACTGCCTAATTGTCATAACATAGCTTGATCGGGTCCCTATGAGCAATCTTCAAATTTCTTATCGAGATCTTCAACCACAGTAGTCCACACACTGTAAGGCCCTAAATTCTACTTCCACACTAGATCTGGCCACAAATGACTGCTGCTTACTCTGCCATGTCACTAGATTGCCACCACCAATTGCAATACCATGTAGTTGATGTCTAAGTTATGAAATAGAACTGGCCAATCAGGATTTGTGCCGGCCTCTACCCAAAACTGTCATGCTTCAAAACAAAAGGCCCTTACCCGGGCTGATTTAAAGTATCAAAGAATGCAGAAATCAACTCAATTAATATAGTTTTACCAGCCACCAACCAACTAGCCTAGCTGCAGCTCAAAGTCCAAAACAGTTGTTGCAAATTCTACAGCAGTGCCTAATTGCACAAAGTCATTAGTAATTAAATTCAAAGAATACCTGATTTTCAGTTACACGATGAACAGCAGATTTCCAAGGTGCACCACTGGCCTCCAACTGTCTGGCCCAGTTCCGTGCCTGCTCCCAGTGCCTGTTATTCTCCAGTCCCGTTGCAAGGGAAACATCATCTAAAGTCTCGCTCCCAAGATGTAAAGTGTCATCCTTGCGTAATAATGGCTCTGCTAAATTAATTTTCCAATAAAGACGTCGGTAGTATATTGCTGCGGACCCTCCATCACCAAAATCAGTTGAAGCAAGCAGTTGCAGTAAACATCTTTTCTCGTAAGGAGATGGACATGTCAAAAGCATTGAATCTGCAGCTTTAATGGAGGTGAAGCTGATCCATGATGTACCAATCTGTGCTTCTCGTCCAACATTTACTGGCAGGCGTGTTGATTCTTCTTTAATTCGGGCAGAAAATGAACCCAAGTGTGCTGAGGCTTCAGATAGGCGCATTTGTGAAAATGCCTGAGGTGGGAGAAAAAAGAAAAAATTTATACATTGTCATACCCATCTATTCAGTTCCAGAAGCAACAGGATATCAATTGAACAATGTCAAAATCTTTATAAATCAACGAAGACCTTTCAACAATATTGAACGAGTCCCTTCCATCTAAAAGACAGTAAGAAAGACAATAAAAATCCTTCAATATTGATAATAGCACATGGTTATTTAATCTATGAACAAGTATGCATTCATGATTTCTATCATGCTGAGAAAGAGTAGTAAAGCATGACAATGTCAGCGCACAGCTTAACAGCTCGAACTTCACCAGGGATAAACCAAGAAATTCTAACAAAAACAATGCAAATCATATGCCAATTGCTGATCATCGGAGACAGATATGAACTGTCCACACATACTAGCAGCTCTAGGAGCAGCACGTTGCATCTGACAACATAAAGTCTCAAGTACCAGCAACTATACATCCTTAAGGCTATGTTTGGGAGAGGGATTTCCAGATCCAGAGGGATTGAGGTCTAAGTTATTAAGAAATGGACAGCAAAATAATGAGGGATTAGAGATGCCCTCCATGAGCATTGCAAGGGCATGTGAGAGATATTTGTAAATGACTCCTCCCAAGTAGGGATTTGCAAACCAGGCAATACAAACGCATGCTCATATCAGGCATTTCTAATCCCTCCTAACAAACATTTTCTAATCAATTTCCCACTAAATTGACCTCAATCCCTTGGGAAATGGAAATCCCTCACTCAAACATAGCCTTAAAGCAAAGGACAGGAAAAAAAAATCCCTCTGAAATAGCCTATTGAAAGGAGGAACCCTCTTCGAATGAAGAATCACAGATGGAAGGGATTATTGATTTTTATTTTATTTACAAACCTGGAGAGCACGTATGAAAGGTAAGAGAGAACATGACGGAAGGAACATTTCAAATGCCCTTAACAAAGGCAGGAACAAGTGTTGCTCACAAAGCACTGCAACCATCTTGGACAGCAAAGCAGGCCCTTCCTCAGAATCACTGGAAACATTCATACTTTCCCCAAGTTCTATCTTTCTTTCTCCTTTAGAAATAAGGCCCGGGGAATCAAATATATTTGCACACGGAAGAGAATTTGAAATATTAGAAATTGAAGCATCTGAGGGATCTCTTGAGATGGGCTCCAAAAGCCGCCTTCGTTTTGAATTTTTCCTATTGTAATGAAAACACATGCCTTTACTTCCTGCTGGAAGGGAATTAGTAGCTTCTACGGCTGCTCCAACATTTCTTGCAATTCTGGAAGCAATATCATTCACCTTAATAGAAGAAGTTTCCCTGTGGAGCATAAAGTTGCAGTCAGAAGCAAAATAATGCATCAGTAATGACACCTGAGAAATTCATATCACAAACATATCTAAACCAAGTGCGGAGTCAGTGAGTCACAACATAAAAATATTCATATAGATATAGTTTTAAATGAATACACAATCCAGGAAGCATCATCAATTGTAAATGAATATCAGCACTAACCTTGCAGCAGTAATTTCCAGCCATACTGTTAGGCAAGATATCGGAGACACATCTGAAAAGCAAGAGGCAATCATTGCCAAAATTGACCAGGACAACTCCTTCGCTTTCAACAAAATGGCCTCTCCAGGAAATTTCTGCCTTTCACATTCTGCTAATATTCTAAAGAGTTCGACTGGGACACAAATGTTTTCTTCTGGAAAGGACACTTCGCTATTCTTTTCTGTAGTATCTAAATATGAGGAGGAGCTAGCTTTTCTTCTTAACTGCATGCCTTTCAAAACTGTTGAAATATGAATTTTGAGACGTGGATCACTAAACTCCTTTGATGCCTGAAAAATGACATAATGAGAAATGGTGCAATATCATTAAATATGTCTGGTTCATATCAAGATTGTATAATACGTTTTAAATTAGCAGCAATATATACCATTTGGACCACCGTATCAAAAGGATATCCTCCAATCTGAGCTTCCGACAAAAATCCGACCTTAAAGAGACAAAAAGAGGAAGGGATCCAAGTTTAAAAAAATTTGTATTCACAAATCAGATTCATTTTGTAATTAATGACAATTATGATATGATAATATGTACAAACCCAATCGTTGTCTCTTGCCAATACAGAAAGGTATTTTGTACTCAAGGGAAGGTGATGCATCTGACAAAAAACTGTAACTAAATTCCAGTGATGGCTTGCAGCTTTCTGCTTAGATCTTAACTCCATTCCATCACCATTGCCACTCAAAAGCCAAGAACCACATGTCTTTACATCCACCGTTTGAGGAAGGCTAGCTTTTTCCAAGTGATGTAAAACAAGCATGAGAGCTCGTGAAGATTGTTTACCAGCAGCTAAATTTGGAGTACCCTTTTGCTTACCATTTCTTGAAATATCCTGGTGCAGATATTCATCTGCTAGAGCTCGAGCGATAGATACTGTTATATCACTTTCATGGCTAACTGCATGAAATTCAGAACTCTTGGTTGGAAGTTGCCTTAAGCTCTCAATATTTTCATTCGATTTGTAGAAAGAAGATATCCGTCTCAAGGCTGCAATGTCTATGCGGAGCATGCTGGCAGAAAAGCCACAAAGCTCCAGGAGGAGAGCACATGATGCCACCAACACAGAATCCTCAAAATGCATAATTGCAAATGGCATGACCTACAATAGAGCAGAATAACAAACTTCAAAGCATGATCCGAAGTAAGCGTTTGACTTTAATCTTTTTATGAAAGCGAGGGCTCAGCAATAAATAAATTTAGACAAGAAGAAAATCATCCATAATACAAAGTTAAATATTTCTATACCAGTAATTATCATTCACCAAAAGTATAACACTGGAATAGAAGAAACTAAAACTTACAGATGCAAGAAGAGACTTTTCACTTTCTTTTATAGGTCCAAGAAGTGTTTGAACATCTGCTTGAACATTTGTCTGTCCATGCGCTTGCCTTTCTGACTTTAGTTTTTGAATTCTCGCAGTAAGTAAATGATTAAAAGCTGCTAGTGCACGTCCACGATGTAAATGGTGCTCCAAGCCAAGTGAGTTTTCCTGGCGTCAATAAAACTACTAAGATGAGAGGGAGAACATTGTAACAGCACTAGAGAAGCAATAAATAGGGTTTTTCTTCTTTTCTTTTTTCTTTTAACGTTTCAACAAATATATATTTGAGCAGTTGTACAATGGTACCAACATCATCAAAATGAAATCCTACAAATTGTGTTAACTCGGAAAGAACAGTAATGCAACAATTCAGTTAAGAAATTATTTTAAAAAGATATACCCACCAAAACAAACATGAATAAACGAAGCAATAGAATGAATAACCGATTCCTCAGCAAAACTAAAAGAACATAAAAAAAATAAAAAATAAAAAAAGACGATTAATCACAGCCCTTTGCTCTTCCATTTTAAGAAATATATTTTGTAGTACCACTCAGTAAAATATACATCTACCATTCAAATTGAGGAAAAAAAAATGAGTCAACAAACCAATTTCCCCCAACTTCACTAGATTAAATACGACGATATGCAAGCAAGAAAGTCTAATTAGTAACTAGAAGACAGATAAGTTGCAGTTCAAATCACAACAACAACAAAGCCACTGTGGCAAATACATGGTCAAACAAAACTATCTTTAACGGCTAATATTCGATGATGGAAGCTAAAATTAGTCTGATATGGGTAATATTAATCATTGTTAACACGAGAAAAGCATACAGATACCTCAAGAGCAGAATTATAGAGTTCCTCCTGAATGTGTTTTTGGATGGCAGCTTCCAAGGAGATTGCGCTGAACTCAGTATCCTCATCAGCGTTTATGAAAAACTCTGCATCTCTGTGTAACAAACCCTCTCCTATTGGCAGACCTGACACTGTTTGCCATCCAAGAGGACCCTGCAATATCATGCAAGTATATGATACAACAACCAAATCCAAATAAGTATACACCACTAACAAGTGACGAGCACAGGAGAATCTGTATGGAGCAAATAACATGCCATTTCAAGTCACAGTTGACCAGTAATCAAGAGTAAAGAGAAATTTGTGTGTGCGCACAAACGTGCCCATAAATAATGAAAGGAATACATTGATACATGAAAAACAACAATAAGAGACCTGCACATAAAGCTGAATCAGTCTCCGTAGAGGCTTAGGATACCAGCATGGCAGCATTTGTCGAAGTGATGTATCACATCCAGAAGAGAAAAATATTTTGCAGCGCCAATTTATATAATCTGAAAAGAGTTGAATGGGCAAAATTGTCAATAGTAAATAACAATGAAACGAATTATCAAAGAACTAAAAGTGCTTTACTGCTGCAAAACAGGGTAGCTAAAGCTTACCATTATTTGCCTTAGGCCCCCAAAAACTGGAAATGGGATCATGCCCAAAACATGCTGATACAAATGATTGCCACAATGTAGGGAAACGCTGAAGAGTAGGCCTAAGATTCTCTAGTGTGCACTGGGCTGATGTACTGCTATGCCTCGTTACACTACCACTACTCAGACAACTTTGAATTGGGACAGAAGCATACATTAAGGTTGCCACAGCTGCCAATTCTGCCCCTCCTTCAGAAATGTCATCAACGGTACGAATTATTTCATCCATCTCTGGAACGCTTAGGTTACTTCCAGGAACTAGATTGCGTGACATGATCGCGCGAGCATTAGAAAATGATGCTTCATACTCACACCCCTTTACCCTAGAGAGGAGCAACCATCTTGCCCATTCACAATCTCCCTGTATGAATGCATTGCAGAAAACATATGAGACATGCATGGTGTTTTTGACAATAATAAGAAGGTAAGGGGGAAGTCAGAGGACCGCATATATGATATATTATCGAATAGAGCTCATGAAGCAATTTAGAAGAGTGGCAGGAAAACAACTCTCCATTAGCCTAGGTGACTTCTAACACTGCTGTCTCCCCAATGATGGATGAAACAAGAAAATTGGCAGAGTTTAAAAATAGAAAATATCAAGTTTTGCAACATTTATTCCAAAATTACACAATAGTGTACCAAAATCATAATGAATTGGAAAATAGGGTCGTTTTCTCATCCAAACTACGAAGTACTTAACAACTACCCCAAATAGTTTAATAGACATAAAACAATCGTGGTCACAGCTGTAAAGTGATGTCAGTCAAATATGACTCCTTAAAAAATAAAAATTATAGAATCCACAAATTAGCTTTGTTGGAACAACCAAATGCTGTGGAGGAATTAAGAGGGGTTTCAGTAAACTACTTATGAATAGAGAGAAAATTAGTCAGCAGATTATCAAAAAATGGATATCATATTTTATCAACATTAGTGGTGTTTTCCAATAATTTAAATTTCCTAAGTTTCTCCTTGAGAATCTAGATTTAAGGAGAAATCTTGATTTTGAGAGTATATGCAGTAAACCTTGTTCTGTTCCCTTTGCCGTACAATCTAGATTTAAGGAGAAATCTTGATTTTGAGATTATATGCAGTACACCTTGTTCTGTTCCCTTTGCCGTACTTTCTTTCACTTTATAATGAATGCCTTGTTCCTTATAAAAGTAAAACATAAATTAGCTCCCCCACACCCTACGTCAGAAAATGTTTTTAGTTTTTTGAATAACCCAGGACTTCACTTGTCAGCTTTCTGACACATCTATTAAACTGGGGCTCACAGCCAAACCCTATAAAGTGTGGGGGCAAGAAACATTAGCGATTTCTAGATAGGTGCTTTAAGGGTTTGGAACCTGACACCACATCTTACTTACCAGTGTCAGTGGCATAGATTTGTTGTTTGTTGTGGATCATGGATGAATGAACTAAGAGAACCTGAGGAACTTCAGAAGAGTCTAAAGAAATAAGTATTTGCAAAACTGTAATGTGGCACCCTCACCCACCCCACCTCCCCCCACCAAAAAAAAAAAAAAAAATTGTTATGAGAGGGGGGAGTAGGTGTAAAATATTTGGGAGAGTCCGATTTGAGAATCCTTGTGAGCTTCAGTATTTCAGTGGGGCTACTCTTTTCCTGTTACCTGTCTGATTGGAAAACAGTGTCTTAGAGGGCTACTCTTTTCCTGTTACCTGTCTGATTGGAACACAGTGTCTTAGAGTCTTGTTCTTGCTGTCTTATATTTAGACGAAGTTTTTTAGTGGCTGTTTTTTTTCCTTCAAAGAAGCTTTAGACATTGCAATTCAGATCTTACAGGCCAGAGGACATCTTGTCAAAAATTTCATGAGGTAAGGTAATTAAAGATCTGAAGCAAGGCCTTTACCCCATAAAAAATATGTTACCAAAAAAAAGATCTGAAGCAAGGGATGTTGTGAAAGCTTCTACACCAATTATTGCAATTAATACAGAGGTGAGGCTGTTTGACTTTGCTGAACTGAAATTTGCAATGCAGTCATCAGTACCAACATATTAAAATGTACACACAAAGATGTTAAGGACCTTGTGCTTTAGAAATTGGAGAAATTAAATTTTTTTAAAATAAAGGGGTGACTGAATTTGAAAACTGCCTATTTAGTTTTATTTGCTGATTTATTATGGTCTAAGGAAGAGCTACAGGCATTAAATAACTAGAAGTCACATGTATTCAATGACTTGAGCTGAATGAATTCTTTAAATACGGAGTAATGTGCAAGTACTTAGCTCTGTGTAAACAATTAATGGTTGACTATGAAAACTAATAAAGGTATCAAGGAACTATATTGAATGGGGTAATCATGTCTAGTGTTATCGGCTCATCTGAAAATAATGTCCTCTTTTATAAAAGTTTGGTGGTTATGTAGGACAATTGATACAGAAGCATCTAGAATGTCCCAAGGCTACTTTCCAGTTGACATATACAACAAGAGAAAAGAAAGTAGGACAACTGATGCAAGATCTCTCCTTTTTCAAAGCAATTAGCTCAATAGAGAATAATATAAGAGACGCTAAAGTAAGTGAGATATCAGGGCACACGCCTTTACAGAAATACTTGGTTTCATTAATCCAGAATTTACTTTCTTCATAGGTTAACAGTTGGTTTCATTAATCCAGATTTTACTTTCTTCATAGGTTTTAAATGGAACTGCTTAAGACTCCTAGGAGTAGGTAAAAGACTCGTTTATAATACAAAAAATACTAGAGACACATCCTATAGTAGTAAACTCTTAGAAAACTTCAATGAGATTGAGTTTTCATTAGACCAAATACATTGACTACTAATAACTCTTGACATATACTCTTGGATTGACTTTTTGACATTTTACAATGGCATTCCTCTTTCCACCAAAAAAGCCTCACTGTTGGACTTCAGCCAGCAAGCTTAGTCCTGGGCTTCCATACAGACGTTAACCAAACTGCTGCAAATGCATCTAGTTACGTATTTAATGCTATAATGGGGCAATAATTTCTAAAATCTACGCTTTATTGATGAATAGGTCTTGTCAACAATACTAGAGACACATCATATAGTAGTAAACTCTTAAGATGCTCCATATTACTCCTCTAATGGGGACCATGGGGTTACAACTCCTTCTATTTATAAATAGAAAAAAGTTAATTGCATTTTATCACTAAGCATCTAACTGTAAATGTTAGGGACCGAATTTGTACTTTAAAAAGAAACAAATTGCATTTTATCACTAAGTTATCTATGGGGTGGGGGACCTCCAAAGTCCCAAGGGATTGAAGCCAAATTAGTAAGGCGTGGGCAACAAAATGTAAGACTGCAATAGAAAATTATAAGGGCATGTGAGAGGGTTTTGCAAATAACCACTTGGAAGGAGTCATTTATAATCTCTCATACATGTCTTTATAATGCTCATGAAGTTCATTTCTAATCTCCTCTATCTAACATATTGTGGTCCATTCCTTACTAACTTGGCTTCAATCCCTAGTGATTTGGAAATCCCTCTCCCAAATATAGCCTAAAGTGATACAAAGTGCAGTAAGAGGTAGACATAACCAATGTAATAGCATAAACAAAATAACAGCCAATAGAGTAGATAAAAGGAAATTCAGTTAGAGTAGACCAGCTTTGAGAAGCTCACTGCATATCTTTAAACTTACCGCAGCTTCCTGTAATGATGCATATGAATTATTATCTTGTAACAATTCATGCTGGTCCAGGTAAAGGTCCAGAAGGTATGGCAAGTTATACTGCGCACAATGATGTATGAGTAGCTTATGCAAGGCTTGCAAGGTCCCGACATGAAATTTTCCACGTTCATCTGGAAATTGAGGGACTGATAAACTCTCAATCTTATCATCCTTGGAAGGCACTTCATACTTGCTAGTAATGAAGCCAGAACGGGCAAGCAGAAGTAATATATCAGCGGTGCCTTCCCAATATTCCTTTAAGAAAATAAAGCTTCTCGCAAGTTTCTCTTGCATCAGCATCCTTAACCATATGGAGGACATATTATTACATGAAAACCTGAAAACTTTGATTTCTGGAACATCCATGCAGACAGCATCCAATTCTTCAATAGAGCACAGGTAAGCACCATAATCAGATCCCCTACTGCATCCAACATTTGAAACAGGCTGTAACCCATCCAAGCTGACTTGGAGGCTTCCAACTGCTAAAAATTGTGGTGGAATAAGGTCCAGGAGTCTAGAGACTTGCTCCCAGTCGCTGTGGCATACATGGTACTCAAGCTGTGATTCCCACAATACATGCACACCCATAAAAGATGGCTGATCCAAGACTATCTGTATTAAAATAAATTTATAAGCTTATGAAGTTTAATCAATCAGGGTTTTCCAATCATGGAAAATAGAAGAATTGTCAAGAAAAACACAGGAAAGCAAGAAAAGACCTTAAAGATTCAGGGATTTCTAAAGTGGACATAGTTAATATTCTATATAAATCATATGTAATATTTAGTTAAGCTTATTTGGAAACTTTTTCAACCATCAAGTTCCTAAGAAGCTTAAATTCCAACCACAAATTCGATGGATAGGATATTGCACTTGAGTTTCAGCACGTGTAGAACCTTTACAAAGACCAATTTGAAGTACCTACATCTGACTATATGTATATGGACACAGAAATAGGAAGAGTGGCTTACCCGTTCAATGGTTCTTTGGTCATAGAAACTAAACCATACAGCAGCACAAGCCCAGTATCCAGCACAAGCACTATCTTCATCAACCATACGAACAGAAGGATTTTCATTGACATTTGCCCATGAACCAAAAACAACTCCATCAATGTCATCGCACTCAATGGTAGAATTGTTGAATGCATGTGAATGCAACAGGCGCAAATAATATCTCTTAGGCAAACTTGAACAGGCTGGAATTCTAATGAATTCTTTCTGCCGTCCGTGAAGTGTTTTCCAGAAACTACTGCTAGGGTAAAGTCTCTACACCACAAAAGTTTAAATAAACAATGATAAGGTAAGTTTATAAACTGCAAAGGGAATCATCTGGTTGGTACTTGAAATCATACCAGATATGTTCGTAAGGTAAGAAAGACATTTAGTACAAGTCTACGTACCTCAATGAGGGATATCCTATCCAATATCTTCCACTCGTATGGGCCCAGGTAGCCATATCTATTCATCTCTTCAGTGATTTGCACTCGTAAATATCTTCTTACTGTACCAAATAATAACTGCTTGAGGCTAGCTTCTACATCCTCTCCAAGCCTTTGCAATGTGGCCACAGCAAGTCCAGATTCACCCTGCAGGTCGTCAAGTATATTATTGCTGAAACATAAAAGACAATATCTTCATATAGCTAAGCATCAATAAGCTACCTTCAAAAATAGGTCATAAGCAATAGCTCTCCCAATATCACGGACTTCAGTGAAAGTATCATGAGGCTCTTTTCCAGGAACTGAATCTCTTGAACGATGAAGATGGAGTTGAAGAACTGCTAAGGGGAGACGACCAGTGAGTAAAGCATCATTGACTACCGCCTTGAGGTCTAAATTATCTATTTTCCAGCGTGCTATCATCTCTTTGGGATTTTCCAAGGGAAGAATTTTCTTCTCTAAGAACCCCCCTCGTGGCACAAGAGATACTTCACTCAAATCCTCCGGGTCCAAATGCACTGCAGGATCCACAGGTGTCAATGCAAGATTCTCAGAATAGTTAAAGGCAGATGTAGATACAGGAAAGTCTTGTTGTTCTGATGTCTCCAAAGATACGGGGTCTACAGAAACAACTATCAACTGAGATTCATCCTGTGATAAACCATTGCCTAGTAGTGCCGATGTTTCCCCACTGTCCACCTGTAATAATATATTACTTACATTAATTGCAGTAAGGAAAATATGATTTTTTTTTTTTTCCCTAATAGGTTAAGGATAAAAAAACATTTATGCGTAAGAAAGGTAAAACAAAGTGGACCTCGAATGCAAAGTTAATATCAGCTACAAGTACCAGCCTAAACTAATGAAAAACAACATGAACATAGAGAAGCCTACAAATTACAGAACAGCTGCACTCCAATCTGAAAGGAATAACAGGAAAAAAGACAACTCCCACAACTACGATGCAGTAGATGACCACAGCGAAGCCCAAAAGGGACCCAGCTCATAAACGATCCAGCTCCGCACCACAAAATGAAAACTCTCTTATCCCACTCTTTCCATGATAACCAAAAGATCTGATATCGACCTCCCAGATCTATGCCCCTCTTCTTTTTCATGTAAGTCTCTATCAAAACACCTGATGGATTACCTGCCTCTCTCTTTGCTCCCTCATTGTGACTTGAAAAGTTAAAGTTCCTTTAAAGGTATGTGTGTTGGATAATGTCTCATGGATAGTTAAATACCTGTGCTTTGTTGCAATTTAGGCAACCCTTTGTTTCTCTTTCTCCCCATAGGCGTATTAAGTGTAGAAAGGCTGTAGAAAGCTTGGATTATTTGTTGTTGCATTGTCCGGTGGCTTTTCTTGTGGGATCAGTTAATTTAGGAGGGTTATATTGGTCCATTCATTTGGAGGAGGGTTATATTGGTCCATTCATTTTTTATAAAGAGACAATTTAATAAGGACAGAAAAGGCAAACAAAAAGGGTGGTCCAGCAGACCAGCCCAAACACCGCAACCACAACAAGCAACAAAAAAAACAACGAAGAAAAAACAAGCAGCCTAAAACAAAAACAGAGTCAGAGTAGCGACAAGCCGCCTTCCAATCTAAGCAAACCAAGGAAAGCAATATTCCAGAGAACTCATTAGAAACTGTGGTCCATAGGGCTGATAGAAACTGAACTTTATCCCATATCTCCGCATGCTACACCATAATCCTCAAAGATCCTTTGATTTCCCTCCATCCAAAAAACCCAACACACTGCGAAATATACAGCCGAACAAAACCCTGGGTTTTCCTCCCCATCCATGACGGAGAATGGGACTCACTGAAAAGAAGTTAACAATTCTTCGGGATACCCAAGCGATACCCATCTCCCTGGGAAGGTTAAGTTTTTTGGTGGAAAGAAAAGGAGGGTAGTGCTTATGGGAAAGGTGCATTTTTGGGGCTTCTTTGTAGGCATCAGTAGCTTCAGAATTTAGAGTTTTCTTCTTTTATTATTTGGTCAAATTGGCCTGAACTCACTGGCAACATAACATGCTGAACATTTGGAAAGAACATTAGCCTACATATATTGAAAAACAAATGTGGTTCCAACTAAAAATCTGGAGAGGAAAGAGATGACTTACCAATTCTCTGCCCGGTCTCTTATATTTTGAACCAAGTCGAGATTGCAGGTTTCGTATTATCTCCAAAAATTGAGCCATTTCACGAAGTCTTCTTGAATTTTCCACTTCATCTTGTACCTTTTCTGGTAAAACTGGCAGAAGTGAAAGCATCTGGGTCCTATCATATTCATATGCATCTTTCTTATGTTCAACCAACCAATACTTACGAATCATTTTGGTTGCAAAGCAAGTTGCTAACGCAAGAAGCCTGAAATACAAGAATGAACAAAATAAGCTCCACAAGCTTAAGTATAAAGACCATTGTAAAAATATATATGAGACGTGTATGGTCATTCCAATCATAGCATATACCAAAAAGAAAAGGCAAGCCAGGCAAAAGGTGCACAAAGAATCAAAACCATGAACAATTCTTGGATATAAAACATCATGTGTCCATAACACTTCAATTTGATTAGCAGTATTGAAAAAATACATGGAAATCAGATTAGTCGCTACCAAAAACATTACCCTTAAGGTCTATTTGAACAGCTAATGTGTCATTTAGTTACTTGAGTAAGAAACGGAACAAACATCACTCAGAACATCCACCAATGCAAAATGGTAACTGAACCTACCTTGATGCAGCAGAAACCTCATTATCATTGCCAACTTTATGAAGCATCAGATACACAGCAGCAAAGATTAACCTTAATACTCCTTCTTCTGCCAAATTGACACCAACAAGCATTTCTAATGATCTGTCCAACACCAAAATGAAAGATTAAATATTCATGATAAAGGAATGAGAGAAGCATTCATTTTGATTTTTGTCACAAAAACAAGCAGATGGTGAGAAAGAGTTGTTGAAGCAGATTGGTTATCAGTTCAGTTGGCAGCTACGAGATTACCAGAACTTGTTAATGCAATTTTCTTTGCTAAGTCAAGTGAAAAGGGGCGTAATCTTACTGTTTCCCCTCTAAAGGGTCTTAGTTTACACATCCTAGTAATGTTAATCCTCCTATTAATTTGTACGTTCTGTCAAACAGATTAGTAAAGGCAAGTCACCCACATCAAACAATTAAAAGGTGAAAAAAGGAATAAAAATATGTTTCACCAAACACAGCAGCTGCAACACCTCCACAATCACACATGAGAGGGGATATTGCCCACCCTTTTGGTATCCCCTTTGTTGTTACCAGCTGTGAAGTTGCTGCGTATTAAATTGTACAAAGAACATAATTTTGAGTCCTTTGATTACACCATATATTGGTTCAAATGGTTGTCATGTTATAACCAATTTGTTTGACTTGAGGTAGAAATTAAGAAATCAACATTGCTACATTGTGCAATCCCTTGGTATAAATATACCAAATTGAATTATCAGGCACCAGAGTGAAATTTCACTCACACTACAAGGGTACAAAGTATAAATGACCTTGAAAAGAATGCAGTTTTGCCAGTTTATAAATCATGTGGCTACCTAAGTTGTGATAATAGAAAACAAGTTCTTACATATTATCCTACAAGACCTATCTGTTTCAGAACCTTCTAATGCCCTACCTTCAGCATATGTAATGCAGAAATGTACAGAAAAACATATTCAAATAGCATGATCCAAAATACACAAGCAAGAATCCCAATGCAGAAGATCATTTTCCATAGGAAGCAACAACAATGCAGAATCTAAAAGTAGAGAATCACACCGTTCTATCTCATCAAATTTCAAGTAGTCCAATGCCAACTGAAGTCGATGCATCCGAGATACTTTCAGGTTCCATCCTGACATGGCATTGATTGCTCAGAATTTATTTCAACATGCCTTGAGATGCAGAAACTCTTATGAAATTTCCCATATCCGATATATTTCTATAAGAAACAAATAAGAAACCAAAAGAAAAAAAGTTGGTCATGTGACCTTACTTGTATTTTGGTCTTTCTATAATTACAAATTTACAAGTTACAACTTGGTTTTGCAACGCCATATTAAAATGCATCTATAATAGCTGCTAATGTACTGCTAATTAAAGACATAAGAAGTTAACACCATGAAACACTCCATTAAGTAGGTTGGTCAAGGAGTTGAATTTTGATATGGGGTTTGGTAGTTGGAAGGGAAGAAGTGGATATCTCACGTTTGCAGTTTGTGGCACAACTCCTTTTCCTTTCTAGGAGGGATCGATTTAGTTGTTAATGCTAGAAGATTTAAGTACTGTGTCGGTGATGATAAATAAATGTAAAAGGTCAAATGAGGGGATAATACAAAAGGAAAAGTGGAGGATTTATACATGGTCTTGCGGTGTGAGGTTGGTAGATGGCCTAGGAAGGCAAAAGATTGGAAAGTTTCAAGACGAACCTATTTTTAGGGAAGGAATATCAGAAGGATGATAAAAAATGGTTAAAGAGAATTTTTTTTCATACCATGGAGAATTAACATCTAGTATACATGTATGTCACACACATGTAGCATGTATACAGAAATGTCCTCACAATATGAGACATTTTTATTTTCTAATATGCAGCAATTAATTTACATTTTTAATTATTAATCTAGAAAAAAACAAGAGGCAGGTCCTAATTCGTTTCCTTAGCCTTGTTATAGCAAGCTAGAGTTGTGGTTCATTATTGTTTGTTTGATTTATTAACCTCCAAAAAAATGATAAATTCTTTATTCCCTCTGTGCTTAGTTATCAAACCACTGAGAGTACGTTCTCTACATATGTGAAAAGTTCGACCTTGATAGAGAGAAGAAGCATGGTAATTTAAAATATAATGCATTAGTGGTCAATTAACCATTTGTCGGCAGACCATGAAACAATTATAAGTATAACATGAATGCAAATCCGGCACAGTAGTATGGACACCAAATCATAAAGGATATGAGGTTAAAAGATAGGTTTTCTCCTACAAATATTCATATGTGGTATATGCTATATAAGGAAAAGCTAAAAAGTTATGCAGAGAACTAAATCCTCACCGTTTTCCAAACACAAGCGATCTGCCTCTTCAGCACTTTCATACAAATGGACTCTGTCCAAAATTTCAACATTCCAGGGTGACCAAGGCTGTTGAGATTCTTTCATTTCCCTTGTGCTTTTAACTTTATCTCCGGTGCCCGAATTGGTCAACTGCCCACACCCAATAACTTCAAGAGGAAGAAAATTTGATGAGACTGATATAGAAGGAAGCACTACTGAAAGACCACTTTCTGTTACCAAATAAAAACATCCCTGGAAAGTGCAGCCCACTGCCTCTCCAATAAAGGCTTCTTCCCTCCCTTGGAGATAAAACATTTCACACCGTGTATTCAAAAAGTTGTCATCACTAACTACGAACTCAGCGTGCAGATTGAGATGAACAATGTGAGAACCCTTCGGGTTCATCATATTCCGGTTCTTAACAAGCCGAGTAATTCCTAATGGAGAGAAACAGATAGGATCATATTCCCTAAACTTATGTGGGGGAAGAAAGATCTTGCGCATCAAGTGTGGCTTATTTTCAGAGTAGCAAGGCTTATGATCTGTTAATTTTGAAGCAGAAAATCTACCCAGAAATGAACTGGATCCCTTCCCTTCTTGCTTACGGTCCAACTCTTGGTTTCTAAGCACATTACTTCCACAATCATCCGGGAAAGAAGATCTGTCATTTGTCATGGATTGAACAATAGAATTCTGTGAACCAGATATGTTAGAATATACCCTTTGGTGACCTATATCACAACCACCAACCTCCCAACCACCCAACATGCCTAGCCTTTGCTGCTGAATATGTGGAAGTAATTTCTCATCTTCATAATACATGCCCGGTATATAGTCACCAGCTGAAATCACATATATTACACCATAATCATCAACAACAGCTATTAGGGAGGTATGTGAAGCAGCAATCAACCTTTTAAACATTCTCCTATCAGAATAATCACCATGTTGCAAAACTCTTTTGTCATCAACTCCATCAAATTCAGTACTGTGCTTCTCAGAACCTAGAGACAATGCTCCTTGCTTATGAAAATCCAACTGAGGGTTGAGTCCTAAAGTCTGTGAAATACCTAAATGTGCAACATACTCACCGGACATTACTCCATAGAAAACAACTAAGCCAGATGCATTTAGACAAATAAGAAGGCTATCAGAAAACTGGAAGTCTGTCCATTGTACCACTGAGCCAATAATTGGACACTCGTCAAGCTTCACTGAGGAAACACACTCAATTCCCCGCCTATCTAATCTAGCAACCAGAAGTACATTATTTTTCTTAGTAATTTCACTTTCATCACTAGTATTCAAAGTTACAGGATCAACCTGTGTGAAAACAAATCCAATAAAGCAATGTGAATTGCTTGAAAACACTCTGGAGCACTTGTATAAACAGTTCATTCCAAAACCAAAAATATTAGACAAAATTTCAGATTTGAAATGCGGACCAGATGAAGTCAAATGTGTATTTATAGAGTTATCACTCTCTGACTTATGAATTGTTTCCTGGGTGCACTCATTTGACACTGAATCACTGTTAGAAAGGAAGTCCAGAAATGGTAAATTACTATTAAACAAACCAAATGAAACGACTTTCGCAGAGCAAGGAAACAATGACTTTTCTGGGAACTTGGTCAATATGTTACCATTGTATTCAACAGTTTCAACTTTTGTCAGAAAAGATTGCAACCATTTCTTAGAAGCAACGCCTTTTGGCAACTCATCGTTCCCAGGCACATTACATTTGTTATGGGGACTTTCACTGTCTCCATTGGCTCTGTTTAAATCAATATTTCCAGTGGCATTAACACTCAAGCTGGTAGCTTCCTCCACCACCGTATTTTCAACTAAGGAGGCAGAAGGCCCCCATTCCACCCACCTCCCCTGGACATACTCACCATGCAGTGCATTCCTGTCAACATCAGTGTTTCGGGTGGATTCAACAAAAGCATGTACCACCAGACCTTGCTTGCCAGATACAAACAAAATTTCACTAAACAAAGCATCCTTGTTCTGATCATAACTATCCTCACAGATACCCCAAGCCAAAGAGTTAACATCACCAACAAAAGGGTAGTTTTCGGATCTTGCAATTTCCCTATCAAAAGTGAAATCATTATCAAAATCTAGAACAGAATCATCCCCTATTGAATCTGACTTGCCAGGGGGTGTCAATGGTTGTGAGCAGAAACCAGAGCCAGTCTCCAGATTACTACTACCAGTTGTAGAGTCCCCTGCAGTAAATTACAATAAGAGAAATTAAACCCGGTAACAGAACTGGGAACCAGCAACACAGTAAAGGTAAAAGGAATCACCGCTAAGTAGAGGAATAAACAAGGCTTCGGAGTGGTAAGAAAGCAGCAACAATAGCTGTCTCGTTGGAGAAATAAAAGCTTGGCGAAATTCGGAAAGGTTTAGGTGGGCGAGAGAAGGGCCCCATCTCTGTAGCTGCAGAACAGCAGCCGCTGCAGGTCCCTTATCAACCAATGACAAATCCATTGCGATCCTTCCTTCAAGTCGACAAATCAAAATCAGAATCGGAAGTTCAATTTTATGTTTATGTTTTGGTATAACACATACACACACAGAGCACAAGAAAATCACACTCCTGTATGCATCAAATTCCTCTCCTTTTTAGGTTTTGGTGCATGCAGCAACAGGTACAGGAACAGGATCATCAATTTTCAATCGAACATGTATGTATTGATGACCAAAAGGAAAGAAAAACTAACTTGTACAGAACGGAGCGTAGCGGTTTTCTCAATCGCCGGCCGGCATCGTTTCGGAAGGACGCCGGAAAATATTCTCCAAGAGCTGAGATCTTCAATTCCCGAGTCCCGACCGAGGAGGACAGTTTCTGGTTTTTGGAGCTTTCGGCGAGTAGCCAACCCAGAAACCGAAGAAGTACAGGCTAGCCTGGGCATAATTGTCAATTCATAGGCTATGATCGAAACACTACTCCTGTGCTCAACCGCCGTTATAAAAAGGATAGTTTTTTTTTTTTTTTTTTTTATTTGAAAAGGGGACAACTAGTGATGATAAGTCACGGTTATCCACTTTTTTTTGTCCGAAGAGGTTATGGAGAATTTCATCATGCCTATGGCAAGAGTCAAGCAAACTCACTAATTCGGAGCTTCGAAACTAGGACCTCCCATATTTTTTTTGTTTATTGGGAGATGTAGTTCGCATCTCTACCACAAGGCCATTGGCTGTGGTTAAAGGATAGTTCTATTCACACACCTATTTTACTTCTCAAACATCCTTATTAATATTTTGTTATTGATCATCTTTAGTTCATGCGATCGGTCTAAAATTAAAAAGGGTGTAGTGAGAAGTAAAAGAAAATGCAGATAGCACTATCTTATAAAAATTATATGAATGTGAATATAAATTTTTTTTTTTAAAGTAGGTTACTTTTATTTTCCTATCTTCAAGTTTGATAAAAATCACACTTTATTGTTTTCATTTTTATTTGGCTCACTTTCATACCTAAAGTTTTGTTTTTCTAACATTTTTTTGTTAGTCAATCCTTCAAATGCTATGTTAATTGATGATGTGGTAGATTTGTGGCCCACCAAATTTATGCCATGGGCAATGAACATCAAGAAATAATTATTTAATAAAAAATAGATAAAAAATTAAAAAGAAAAGTATCATTTTTCTCTTCCCCCTCTTCTTCAACTCTCATTGACTGAAGCTTCATAAAAATTGCTGCACTTGGGCTTGTTTTTGCGCGATCTGGAGAACCGCTTTGTTCACACTGAGAAAAAAAAAAGGGAAAGAAACAAACCCAATTCATGGACATGAACTTGGCTCTCCCACCACATTCTTCTCCACTTAGGACCTCTCCGCCCCCGACCCCAGCTACACTTTATTTGGCGCTCCTTCAGCCGTTTCACCACCATCAACCTCTGCACCGGCCTCTCACTCATGCCCTTCATTTCCAACCTCACGGAGTTGATTCAGCTCATTCTCTTCCCTAAAATCGTCACCAATTCGATTCTTTTCTAGCTCGTTCAGCTCGCCAGCCTCCAAGTCATCTCCTTCACTAAACACTGCCTCACCAACTTGATTCCCTAATCCCTCTGTCTCTTCCCAATCATTTTATTCATTTTTGGGAACCTGTCTCAGTTATGTTCTATTGCTTCCAAGTGCATACATAAGGATAGTAAAAGGGTACAAGTAGGGGTGTCGAACTACAGGCACTGATTCGCTTTATGTGAACCCTAACCAAACAATGAAATAACAAATTAAATTTTGTTTTTCAACTGAAAACTAAAATACTTAAAAATGCAAGTGTGAGGCCATAATTTTCCATGACTAGAGAGTAAGACAGATCGGAACATGAGTACCTCAGAAGTTTGGTCATGAACTCAACAGTTTCCCTAGCGGAGTACACAAACAGAGCAACATTGCCACCATCATCATATTTCGAAGCGGTATGCGAAGTCTGACGACTTCACTAAGATTAACCACGCTTGTTTCACAAAGTACTAAAACCTAATCTAGTAAGAATCTAATTAAGAATCCATTAAGAATAAGAAAACGAAAAAATCAAAGAAATCATGTGGCAAGATGTATGCATAGCAGTTCCTACACTCATTCACATGTCAACTAAGATTAAGCATGATATGTATTGTGGGACCATGATTTTTCATGGTCAAAGTAAGGCGGATCAGAATACGAGTACCTTATAAGTATGTTCATAGACTTAGCAGCCTCCGCAGCAGAGTTGCACAGACGGATTAACGATGTCACCATCATATGGTTCCAGAGTAGCATGATAAGTCTGATGACTTCGCTGAGATTAACCATGCTTGTTTCGCAAGAAACAAAAACCTAATCCATAAAAGAATTAACCAGGTTTCCTATATTGTTGGAGTTCCTACAATATAGGATTGGTGTGCGCCGCAAGTAATCTAACTCCTAAAATGATGCAATATCTACTCCTAGATATATTATAAGATTCTATTAGATTCTCCTAATTTAATACAGATTCCATATCCTAAAAGAACTTTATCTTGACTAGTATAAATACATTCTTCTAGGGTTTGTTTCTGGTAACGTAATTATCGCACACGTATTCTCTTGCCTCCTGCTTAAGTTTCATAATATTTCTTACTAATTTTACCCTCAAAAAGCATTTGGCCCGCACCACCTCGGTTCTTAGCTGCTTATAGTTGTTTGTTATTTTACAGGTTAACAATTTTGTGCATCTCCACCCTTTTCGGCGGTGTGGAAATTTGGTTTTAACAGTTGGTATTTTCATTGAAAGTAAACTCATATTCCACCCAACCAAATCACTCTACTACAACCATGTCAGCAAAAGGAATTTCAGTTCATGCTAATGTTAACACAATGATGGGAAACAATCCATTCCCTGACGCTTCCATCACTCACACCGTGAACAATCTACTTCTCACCATGGACTAGATTTGGAAAATCTTGCTGAAGATCAACGACTATGTTGACAAATTGCAGAAGACCTACACGGCTTCTTGAGCAGAGGGTAAACTTCATGGGCATCAAGAAAAGGATAAAAGCTCTGGAAAACTTCAGTAGGACTACTCTACAAACTCATATTCTTGTCTTCACCTATAGGAATATAAGTACTAGAACCCCAAAACGGTAATACCATCGTGTCAACTCTACTTCGGCTCCAACATAAGTTGCTAATCTGAGCACGAGTGCCCTACATAATAGTCAGACTATCAATAACGCCTCTATAGGTGGGATCCGAGTCTAACGAGACACCAATCTCTTGGAGATTGCATAAATGCCTCAAATGGAGCCTCGTCATCTAAACTTTGATGACCTTGAATCCTCAGAAGAACAATAATGATGTTAGCCCCTAAATCGTGACAAACTTTGGGATGCATCAAGGGAAATTCAACGTCATATTCCTAGCAAGATCATCGCCAAGGTTAGGAGCCCTCTTTCTTTGAGTATGGAGTCTGCACTTCATCTAGAAAATCTTACATAACCCAATAAGTACTTTCATGGAGATTCTTATCTGAATTTCCACATCATGCATTATTAGAATGTTATGGCATTATATAGCATGGTTCAAGTACTTTAGTACACTTGTGCGAAGCATGGCAATGTAACGTAAGCATAATATAATTCAATTTACACACATGGTTGTCGGAACTTTGGATTTCGTTAAATCTTATTAAATTAATTCACGTGATCTAGTTTAGTCCATGTGCTTGTGTTCATGTAAAACAATTTTAAGGTCATAAATTTAAATTAAGTTTAAAATTCCAACCTTAGATTTCATATGAAGATGAATTCATTGTTAAGACTCCCAAGTGTTAGCCCTCTACTAGTATTCATACGAATGAATCTTCAATTGGTGAAGCAGGAAGACGATGAACTGCTAGGTCTTTCTCATCCAATAGGTGTGGTGGCAATGGTAGAGTAGTGTGGTGTTTTGTTTTTCAAATTGTTGAAAAACCTCAAGTGGTCTTTTGGTAAGGCAAAGGGAATGAAATAAGTAAAAGGCAGAGAGCTTTTGGTTTGAAAGCTTGTAGTATTTTTGTTGAATGATTTTAGTGTCCTTTAGTCTAAGTCATTCACTTGTATTTATAAACCCTTCACATCTTCCATCAGTGTTCCCTATGTTTTCATTTAAAGCCTACCTAGGATTACTTTCTAGAAAGTAATGCACCAATAGAAAAGTAATCCAAAATATATGGGCCGTGAATGAGGATTCACTACAAGAAAACATGGGTTACGTGACAACATTTTTTTTTTGACGCCCATAAATTCATCATATTTTAGTATAATAAGTGAGGAATTTAGGGAAAAAAAAAGAAAAAAGGTATCACATACAAACTAGCACGAGATACAAATTGTTTTTGGAATGTTGTTCGTCACATAAAAATCTTAGATTCCTCACAAATTTTTAAAGTGGCAAATTTTACCACCCAATAATTTCTATTGGGTGACGAAAATATTACATTCTTCACATAATCTAAGATAAGGCCATGTGGGAATGTGAGGAAAGACAATGCATCACATTTTTGTACTAAAGGCAGAGAAAAAATTAAAAAAAAAAACTTAAAAATAATTAAAATCCAAAAGCCCCAAACCATTAGAACTCATCTACTCCCACCCTACTTAATCTCTTAGCTGACTTACTATTGGTGGCCGCAACTACCATTGCTCTTTCATCTTTCTCATATCTCTACCACTTGCTCTCATACTTTACTCTCTTTTATTGACGATGAATTAGTTTCTCAGCTACCCTTTCTCCTAATTTCTTCTCCAAAGGTACTCAAATCTCTCTCTCTTGAAATTACTGATTTTTTTCTTTATTTCTCTCTTGAAAATTTGTCTTAATAGTGAAAATTTTGAAACTTTTCTTATTTTTTGTATTGGGTTTTCAAGATACGGAGAAACCCAGTTGTAGAAATCTCACTTGTCTTATTGGGTTGGAAGATTTTTTTTTCATTTTTGATGTTTAATTAAATTTTAGGATGATGTTGATATTATCTATATACTAAAACCCAATAGAAAAGCACTGTTCACGAGCAGTGTAATGGCTAAAATGCCCCTTGATATCTTCTTTATTGCCCATTGTCTTGCCCATTTGGTACAACGAGATGACATTTTTACCCATCTTGGCCACGCATCGGTCATCGTCTAACCAGCTTGCACCTTCTCGACTTTTCCGTTTGTTTTGTGCTTGGCGGCCTTGCTTCTTTCATCAACATGTAGTCACCTATGCTACATCCGAAGCTTTTAAAGAAAAGCCAAAAGAAAAAAGCTATCCACCGAAGAGATAATAAATGCAAAGACCCACGTGTTGATCATCCCTTTCCATTTGAGAGCAAGACAGAGCAAAAGAGAGGGATGCCATTGCCATTGTAGTAACCAAGACCCATTTCTCGAAAAAGAGATAATAAATGTGAAATATATATATATATATATATATATATATTGGGCAGGGTAGAAAAGATAGTCCAATCTAAAAATGAGAGGTCATGATGCGTAGTGGGAGAAACAAAAAAAAAAAAATATATATATATATATATATATTATCTTATTATTATCTATATACTAAAACTCAGTGGAAGTTAACTGTTCATTAACAGTGTGCTTACTGTTTTGCCCCTCGGTTGCTGAGTAATTTTTTTCGATCTTCTGGATTGTGACTGCATGTTGGTGTCGTGTGTTGATCATGAGGGTGATTTGGTCTGTGGTGTGCACGTGTTGACCATCGTGGTTGCCTCTTCGTCGTTCTTCACACCGAAGTTGCTGGAAGGGTTTGGAATCGATTCGTATTGCCTGCTTTGTACAGTGAAAGAGATAAAGTAATGGGTTGTTGACAAAAAATTAAGATTAAAAAAATGTCTGTGGCACTGAAAAGGATAAAAAAATGATATAGATATTGGTTAGAGAGAAAAAAAAAATGATTAAAAAAATATGGAAAGATGGTTTGGGTGTTTGGTTTTTGTTTTCTAATATTTTCTCTTTTAGCATACCAAGGAAATTGATGGGCAGCTTTGAGTGCATTGGACGAAACCCTCCACGTGTTGATCATCACTTCAAGTTTTGCTTTTCAATTGTTTTGGTTTTTTCTTTGCCTTTCACTTCCATCCTTATGTACACTTCATGCCAACGGAATGCCATCCACGTGTTGATGATCGCTGCACGTTTTCTTTTCCATTTGTTGTTTTTTCTTTGGCTTTCACTTCTCTATCTGTCATTTTCCATTTTCTATTTGTTTTATGCTTTCTTTCTTTCATTTTCAACTTTGGTTTTCTCTCGACTCTCTGCATTGTGGTGTTTTTCTTGCAAATTGTTAATGGAGCAGGTTATGTTGTTTGGAATTATAGGTACAAGTTTGTTTTGTTGTAAATTGGTTTCATGTAGAAATTTTGCTTTCTTTCTTATTTTGGGTGTTCATTTTGTAGTCTGGGGTTTTATATCGTCCTGTGTCTTCCACGCGTCGATCTTCCTTTTCGATTCGATCTCTCCATTTTCTTTCGCCTTTCCGTTTGCTTCTCTCAGCCCTCATTTTGGCAGTTTGCATCGCGTCTATTGTTCTCTCGAATTTTCTTGGGGTTTTCATTTCTTTCTCACAGATACTTGATTTTCTTAGTTTGTTTTCGCTGATCTTTTGTTTCTTCCATGCATTCCACTTCTTTTTCATCATTTTCGGTGTGGATTTGAAGAGGATTTGTGAAGTGGCTTTGATTTTATGGTAAGTTGGTTTGAACGGCTTTTAGAGTTTGGGATCGTTTGGGCTGATTTGTAGTTTTTTTTTTCAACGGTGAAAATAAATGGTTAATAGTAAATTGATTGTATTTAAATTTTTATTGAATTTAGGTACCCATGTTTAGTTTTTCGGTTTGATTTGAAGGAATTTCTTGTGCAGAAGAGCTAGGGTTTCTTGGTGAGTTCTCCGGGTTGTGCATCATGCTCCACTTCACAAGTTCATTGTTATTTTTCGTAATATATTCTGATTTCTAGAACTGTAAATTCGGATGTGGAAATGAATTTTTTGTGCAAATTTGGATATTTGGATGTTGGTTAAAATTGGGGGAATGACTCCCATTTTGTTAGTCAATTAATTTAATTTTTTGTTTATCTCAAGCTTCTAAATGATTTCCTGCATCATTGCTTAGTTTTACTCACTGAAATTTGAGCGGTGAATTTTTTTTACCTTATGACCTCATTTGTGATTATCAAGTGCATAATTGTCTTTTGATCAGATTTCCTTTGAAGTGAATGCCAAACTGCAGTGTGATGTTCAAACTTTGTGGCCTTTTGAAATAGGTGGGAGCATAATTCATTCTACTATAGATTGTTCCCCTTTCCATTTCCATGAGGTAAAAGCTCAAATCTCTTTATTTTTGTGTTGGAGAAGTTGGTGGAACAAATTGTGCTTTACTCTACATATGACCAATGTCTATGATTTTACAATGCTTGAATTATGCTTCTTGGTTTTTAATTGGGTTTTTGTGTAGTGAGTTGGATAGATAGTTCATAGCATAGGTTTGGTTGCATGTTTATTGGAAAAAGAAAAACACGAAGAGGCACAACACACTGAGGATAAACTTTTTGTCTTCAGGTTAGCACTGCTTCTTTTTCCTACCATTGTTGAGAACAATGCCTAATTTATTTTAACTCTTCTCATTTTGATAATTACCTTTTCCACTGCCTTCTTGAACTTGGAATTAGTTTGATAGCATTTTGGTTTTAAGCGTCTATAAAAGTATTTCATTCCAATGAACAAGTCATTGATCTATTAACTCTTATTTTGTTGAAGATTTAGTGCTAAAAGCTAGGAGTTACAAGTATTACATTCCATTCACCAAGTCATTGATATACTAACTCTTATTCGCTAGAGGATTGAGATTTTAACACTTCTCATCTTTGCTGTAGCCAATAACAAGAATAAACATTCTCCATTGCTTCACCTGTTTCTACCAACAAATTGAAACCTAAACATTAGAATTTCATCACTACGATTTCACCCATTTATCATAAGATTGGTAGACATAACTTCATACCATCTCATAGTAGAAATAAAGGTTTTAATTTTATTTTACTCCATTATTGCTCACTCTCTGTTTACTTTTCCTCAATTTAAGTCTCCAAACAAGCTACCGTTTGTAAGTTCTATCAATCTTCAATTTTTATTTTTCTTGCTTTGATTTCGGTTTTTTTTTATTACTAATTTTAATCATTTGTGTCCACTAATGATATCTTGGTATGTTAGTTTGAAAACGTGTCCTTTCGAATTGTAAAATCTGGCAAATTATTTGAAGTAATTATGATTTCAGCTTTTTGGACTTTACAAATAGGAAGATGAGGAGACAAAAAGAAGTACAAAGGGATGCATTTAACTTCCACTTTTGAGGTTCCAGGCACCCAAAAACTGCCGACTGGTGAGTTAAAAAAAAAAAAAATCTCAATTTGATATAAAGTTTGGATTTTCAAGTCTGGATTGGATTTAATTTGATGGGTTTGATTTATATGCAAGGACTTTGCTTTTATTAATGCAAAAAATACTAATTAAATTTTAATTAAGATGCTAACTTTGTAGGTACCCAGGAATTAACAATGTAGCTGAAGTTCTCCACTAGCTTAAGCACAATGGAGAACTCAAGTACAGATCTCTTTATTTGTTTCTCAATCCTGGAACCTCTGGCCTCCGCAAGAAGGTTCGTCTCTTTATCTCTCACTTTGTTTTTTAAAATTCGTAATCGAATTTCCTTTGCATAAATGCTAGATCTATTGCAGAGGGGCCACAAATCCTACCCTCTGTTTGTTACTTTGTTCCAATTGTTGCAATCAATTTTTCATCGTTTATGTGGTCAATTCTTGCATTGTTTTATTTGGTGAATTCTTGATTAACGACTGATTTTTCTTGCTTGGTCTAATTGGGTAACTTAAGAATTTCATGTTTGAATTTTTGTCCTGATGGATCCTTTTTTTTTTTTTTTACCATTATTCAATTTTTTTTAATTATGTAGCCGAATGAGTTCGGTATTCCTTTGGAGTCTCTGCAAGTTTAAAATAATCTATGTTGTTGTTTTGATTGTGCATTCTATTTTAAGAAGAATGTTTTGAATTTAGTGTTGACACACCCCGATCGAGATCAGGGCATGCTGGCCGTCACGTGAAAGTGACGTAACCATGTGCACAGTGCGGAAGCTAATAAAATAGTAATATAAATAGTACGAATAAATATAAAAACTAGCTTTACACATGGTAATAACGAACAAGTGCAAGCGTAAGTGCGACACTAAGCTCAGAGCATGAAAGCCTAATGCAGTCCAGGAGAAAACGACATAACAAAAGCACACCCGAAGGTGGTCCTACACTGGTGGTGGTCTGTCAGATATGCCGGGAAAATCCTCAGGGAAGCCACCAAATGTGACATCGAACTAGAACCTGGAGGGGCGCAAAACAAAAGCGTGAGTGGGCAAAAACATAACTTTTCAAAAACCAATTTAATAAATAAGTTCTAACCCCTCGCCGTAAAACCTGTATACTTCCCAGAAAATAGAATATATATATATATATAAGTCATGCTCAGGATTATGCTATGCCAAAACCTCTAAGTAAAATGCAAGTGCTTAGGTAAAGTCATATCAATGTCATATAATCTGTCAGCCGGAGTCACCTAACATGACCCATACGGCTGAATCTAGAGCTAAAATCTCCAAATCACTAGCTAGACCTGCACACGAGTCGGAACCACCTAAAGTGGTCTGTACGACAGGCTTGAGTGTAATGTAAGTATGCTCAAGTGCTACGATCACGTGAAGGCTGGGCGAATAATCGCGGGTCACCTACGAGTTGGAACCACCTAAAGTGGTCTGTACGACAAGCCTGTGCACCTAACTTGGATCCAAGGTGAGCGTGTGGTGCGGGAGGTGAACATCACGTGAAGGACTGTGCCCAACTCTGGGCGGAAGCACTAACACCGGGGGTGCAGGTTATGAACTCTCTAAGCATCTTGAAACACTACTAAACATAACATAAGTTATACTCACCTGGCACTTACCTGTGCGTCCACAGTACCCACATACATATATATATATATATAGACATATGCACTAATAATGTATAAGCAAATGGCAATATAAAGCATGGCATAATAACGAATAAATGTTTCAAACCAATTTCTGGGAAAAGTATAAGTATATAGGTATATACGGAAAACCAAAAGCCCACTCACTGATAAGTAGAAGGGTCGTAACCCCCTTGCCTCGAGTGATCACGCTTGTCCTCGGGATAGGTCTCACCTATATGCGAAACAACTATAAAAACGTTAATTTTAAAGCACATAACCAACTTTAAGAAATAACTTCTCATACAATACTCAAATGGGGTGTATGAATACACGAACGTGATCTACTCAACCTCAGGAACATCCCCATATTTTTAGAAAAAAATTTCACCGCCCCACGCGCCGGCCACGCGTAGGCACGTGCCTGGCACGCTGACGGCGTCAGTTAACGCCGTCAAGAATATTCCGTTATCTTTAACGGTTTCAGTCAACGGCGTTAGGAATATTTCGTCAGTTTTGACGGAATATTCCGTCGTCTTCTCCGGCGAGGCTCCAGCGCCGTCGCCGGCGCCGGAAAATCGTGAAATTTTCAAATCGTCCTATCTTCTTCGTTTTTCATTCAAATTTCACAAAATTGGTACCAAATTGAAGCTTACAACGAGTGGAACAAGTTCATACCACTTTCAAGTGCTAAAATCCATGAAATCTCGCCGGGAAAACACCCCCAACTCCGACCAACCTTGAAACTCACGATCCCGACGTCCAAAACCTTCAAACAAACCACCCCGAGCCTCCTAGGGACCTCACCAAGCTTCCTACAAGCTTGAAATTCCCAAAAACATAAGAAATTACATGTGCATGAACAGTGCCAAAAATCGGGCATCATGAGTTCGACGTGAAAACGAAGGTAACTTTACCTGAAATGGGTATGGTTGGACTCCTACGAGCCTCACGAGCATAGATAGGTACTTTGTTCCTTCGATCTGTGAAGATTTGGTGTGTTTGTGTGTGTGTCCGTACAATGGAGGGGAAAATGGGAAAGAGAGGGCTCGGGATAGGGGCGTACAGGGTAGGGGAAAGGTGAGGGTAAGTGTGGGGAAGAGTGTGTGGTGTAAAACCAGCCACACCAAGCCAAAAAGAACAACCACACAACGAAAAATCACGCTAGGGGTAAAATCGTCTTTTCACGCGTACGTTTTAAAATTTTCGGAACGGGCTGTCACAAGTGTAATCTCAATCTCAATGGGTTTTTATGATACGCCTTATTAGTGAATTTATCTACATTTTTCAATTTTGGTCTCGACGATTGTGATCACTGCATTGTGTGGATTTTTTTGAATTCCCAAATTTTGTCAAACATTTGACAAGTGCTTCTTGAATAAATTTCGAGTAAAGAACGTCTAATTATGACAATTTCAAGGTTTCAAATTCATTGGAAAATACGAAATAATATTGCATAGTTTCTGATTAATGTGAAAAATTGGTACTTTTGTAGTGACATATACTTTTGGAGAAAGTTGTAAAGTTTGATACCTTCCAGCTTTAATCTACTTTTTCCGTTGTCTTAAGGTATAGATCCCCGCATTTAATTTACTCTTTTTTTTTTTTTAGGTGAAGGATTAAAATGTTGTCATTTGGTATAGATGATCTTGGTTTAGCAAATTGATAGCGAGATGGAACACTCTTAACTGCGTTGTAAATTCGACTCACTCATCATATAAGAGTAGCTTCATAATCGTAATATTCAAAACCATATGGCTTTTTCAGTTATGGTTCGATTATTATTTTCCTTTTCAATTGTTATTCTTCATTTTTGATGTGGTTGTTGTTTGTGATTTCCATTCAATCTGATCCAATACTCTCAGTTTTCTTTTCAGAATTCCTTTCTTTGCCTTTTCCCAATGTTAATATTTTTCTCCATGATAGAAATTCGATGTTAATATATATATTTTTTAATTTAGATCCTACAAGTTCAAGGCATTGATGATGGAATTAAATTCAACACTGCCCATTGTTCCTTATTGTAGATAAGGTTGTATAGGAGCAAGATGTAGCACCGTAGCATCGTACGGGCAGTCTTGGTAGTGTATTTCTAAATTCAGGTTTACAATCTGGAGTCGGAGGGGAGTCCTCTATGTGCACTTCTAGTAATCTTTGTGAGTATTGTCGGTGACCTTAGCCCTTGAACTACTTGTACCTTGCGCTTTATCTAGGTGTACATTTTAATCTAGAAAAGAGAGAACTAGTTTTGTGTTTCCAGAGCTCTGTGTGCTTATGAAGGTTGTACATTTTTCATCTAGGGTTTGTACATTGCTATAAATACACACAAATTGTTTAGCTCTTGAAATAACATTTGTTTTGTTTAACGAAAATATTAATAGGCTCCAGTGTATGGTATGCAACAAAGTAATGGAGCATTGGATGTGCATAGCCAAGGCTCTCGGTAATAGCATGGTTCGGTTTATACTAGGAAATCCTTGTTTTAGATATGGGATGTTAGTTGGAATGTGTTTGGTATGTTTTATGGATCTTGATGTTTATTTAGGTGATTGAATCAAATTACGTTCTTTGTTTAAAATTTCATGATTTTAATCAGTTAGTAGATTTAATGAGTCGAGAGGAAGAAGGGAAATGATGTTTTATAACTATGGTGACGGAACTCAGCCATATCAAAATTCTTTTCGAGTAAATTCATTAATGGGACACAAGAAAAAGCTCGTAGATTTTCCCATTGGGCATTCAACATTACATTGGGTTCACATTATATGGAGTTTTGGTCATGAGGGAATCAGGGATAGAGGCAGGAGTTGGTCTTATGAGAATCTTTCTCCCCATTGGCTTGTGATGTGTACAAATGCCCATGAATGTATTATGTCTCGATTAACTACTGCTCGTCTCATTGCATTGGTCATGTATATTTGGTTCTGAATTAATTTTGGCTTCTCTTGATTTTGTTTGTCCCACCAATATATCTTTATGTTGTTTCTTGTTACTTGTTGAGTAAAAAAATTATATGTGCCTAGTCCAATTTAATCCATATTCAAATAGAAACTACAAATCATGTTTATATACAGGTTATGGATGAGATTTGCTTCTACATCAGTTAAGGATAACATACAAGTACTCAAGTTGTGTTTTCTTAAGCATATTATAGTTGATATGTTTGGAATGAAAAAACCTAAATTGTTTCTATTTTATTATGAAAGGAAAACATGAAGAAAAAGAAGGATGAAGTGAGAGAGAAGTTGATCCAAGGAGTACTCCACCAGACTCTATACATGTGTCATTGGATGATGAGTTTGGAATCATGGCTGAAAAGCTTGGAAAGAAGGGAAAATCTGTTAATGGTGTAGGTGTTTTTCCTCGTACGGATACCTCTAGTTGCATTCTTCTATAACCTTAAGTTCCGAGTTAACTGATATGAGATCCCAGATCAAGCTTCTATCAAATGGTTTCCTCAAATTGCAACATAAGAATGAATAACTGAGAGCTCTATTGGGTTTACATAATGATGATGAAAATATGTTCACAAAACTCAAGGCGTGTTTGGCTGCTAAGTCAAGGGAGGACCAACAACTATACAGAATCTGATGGTGATATTTCAGAGGGTGAAAATATTTATCCTAAGCTAGAAGAACATGATTTGGAAGAGTACTGACGTTGATATTATGTCTTTTACGGTTAGTTTCAAGTATGCACATGGTACACTTCTTTTGTTATTACCTAAATGTGCCTTGGACTTCTCTTTTGTTAATACCCAAGTTGTTTGTATATAGGTGTTAGTGCCCTTCATTATTATGGCTTAGACTTGTCTTTTGTTGGTACCTCAAGCTGTCTTTTGTTAGAGCATCTTCATTGGAGTCCCTAAATAGGGACAATTGTCGTATAAAATGGTATAAAACAAATATAGGCACAAAATAAATCTCCAATGGATTGGAAAGTGAGTCCCTAAAGTATAGTGACTCACCGGATACACATTGTATGTCCTCACATATAAGGACTATATACCGAACGACCTTGAGTGGAAAACAAGGTCCACAATCTTAATTGAAGTTTTTAATGCTTTTAATTTTATTATAATTATTTAAAAAATGGTTAACATAAACAAAAAAATGTACAACTTTAGTGGAAAATGAGGTCCACAATCTTGATTGAAGACTTTAATGTTTTTAAAACTTTTAATTAATTAAAAAAAGGTTAACATAAACAAAAAATGTTGCACCTAATCAAATTATCACATAAAACCATAAAAACTTCAAATTTAGGGATTCTACCATAAGGACTCTACCATTAGAGGCAATATTTCTTTAGGGACACAATGATTCCATTTAAGTCTTTATTTAGGAACTTCTACCACCACTTTTGAGTACTCATATAAGGACTTAAAGGGAATCATTGTGTCCACAAAAGAATATTGCCTCCAATGGCAGAGTCCTTATGGTAGAATCTCTAAATTTGAGGTTTTTACAATTTTATGTGATAATTTGATAAGGTGCAAATTTTTTGTTTATGTTAACCTTTTTTGCATTAATTTAACGTTATAATGTCATAAAATATCTTTGTGAATATGTTAACTAAAAAAATTCTAATTCTGACACCAAATGTTTTTCTTCATGAAAACTAGTTAGAATTGCTTCATTATCAGATTATATCCTTGCAAATTAATTAGGTACATAGTTGGACACATAATAAAAAAAAAAAAAAATTAGAATTCATACACTGTAATGTGTTAACCTCGTAATTATTATAGTTCATATGTCACATCTCGGCCCGGGGTGGACCACTTCCCGGGCCCACTCCACCACCGTAGCACGATATTGTCCGCTTTGGGCCCAGACCACGCCCTCAAGGTTTTGTTTTTGGAAACTCACACGAGAACTTCCCGATGGGTCACCCATCCTGGGAGTGCTCTCGCGCGCTACTCGCTTAACTTCGGAGTTCCCATGGAACCTGAAGCCAGTGAGCTCCCAAAAGGCCTCGTACTAGGTAAGGATGGGAATATGCATATAAGGATCACTCCCCTGGGCGATGTGGGATGTCACAATCCACCCCCCTTAGGGGCCCGACGTCCTCGTCGGCGCACACGCGACCAGGGTTAGGCTCTGATACCAATTTGTCACATCTCGGCCCGGGGTGGACCACTTCCCGGGCCCACTCCACCACCGTAGCACGATATTGTCCGCTTTGGGCCCAGACCACGCCCTCACGGTTTTGTTTTTGGAAACTCACACGAGAACTTCCCGATGGGTTACCCATCCTGGGAGTGCTCTCGCGCGCTACTCGCTTAACTTCGGAGTTCCCATGGAACCTGAAGCCAGTGAGCTCCCAAAAGGCCTCGTGCTAGGTAAGGATGGGAATATGCATATAAGGATCACTCCCCTGGGCGATGTGGGATGTCACATCATATATTGAAAAAACACTAGTAATAGGGATTGAATGTTGAAAATAATTAAAAACAAAACAAAACAAAACAAAAGCAAGAGGCTTCCACTAGAGGACAACAACAATCAAGGTTGTGGGGGTAGCTCAAGGGTTGTTGGCGACTCCAATTGCTCCCACGCGTCATCAACTATTGAAATTCATTCTGCACAGCAGCATTCAGTTTGGTGGGCCAGCCTTTCAACTTAAATTATTCAGTTGGGTCCATCATTTCAATCCATATACAGTTTCTATATGTGGGTACATACACCAAGTATTTGGTAAGTCTCTATACTTCAGGGACTTACCTTCCTATTCATTGGAGATTCATTTTGTTCATATATTTGTTTTATACTTATTTTATACGGTGATTGTCCCTAGTTAGGGACTCCACTGAAGATGCTCTAAGCATCTCAAGCTGTTTTAGACTTCTCTTTTGAGATATGTCACCATGACTTTAATTTTTGGGATGTAAATTTGGTGAATGTATTTGACTTATGTGCTTTAATTGTTGATTAATGAAAATGTAAAGCATTACCTGATAATTGTTATGAACTGCAATTCTAGATTACAAAACAGGAAAAAACACTTAATTCCTCAATATTATTTCTAAGTAGGTATTTGATTTAAACGTATGTGGCGTAAGTTGCACCACATATCAAAGGAATATATGACGCTTTTAGCATCACTTAATGTAAACTATATCATCTGTGATCATATTGGGTGACGACAAAATCATCACTTATAAATCTGATATGAGACGAAAAAATAGGTCACGAAAATTTGTATTTTGTGACATATAATTTGTCACACATACTGTTACTAAGTGACGAAAGTGGCGTCATGTATACTAAAAATATGTGGCGAAAGTAAAATTCGTCTAGTGGACTATAGGTGATGCAAGTGCCAATGACGCTAGAGTTTCGTCACATATAGTCAAGTGTGACGAATTTTTATGTTTATGTGATGAATGTTTGTCGTCACCTAAATCATGTTTTCTTGTAGTGATTAGCATAATCAAGATGATGGTTTTGTTTAAATCCATGATCATCTTCCCTCCAAAAGTAAATAAAAGTGCCTCGGTATTTTTGACAAGTAAAAACAATTTGGGCATGCACTGTTTATTAGAGTAAATTAAAGGCCCAAGTTCTATTTCCTTGTAAAACACCTTATTAGACCAAACCAAGGCTCAACAATATTTTTCGGGTAAACATTACCGTCCTCTACTTACATTTTTGTACTGGTTGCCCAATTATTAAAAAAATAAAATAAAATAGTTGTAATATATGATGATACACTAATAGTGGAATATACAAGTTGTAATAAAACAAAATTTTTCCTATGTTTGCAAAACTCTCCAACAAAAAACCTAAATGAGCCTAGTTTTAAGGTGTCGCTCATTTCATGCAGAACTGTGAATTGTAGAAACCCAAAATTAGAAAAAGAAAATAGTTTGAGAAAACTTGACACCTTGTATGGCTCTTGTATACCAACAGCCTAAAACTGGAAATATTAGTTGCAGCCCTTGCAAACCCATGTGATGTACGTACTTACCTTACTCTATTGCGGCCATCCGTGTATTTAAAACTCTTCCTTCAGCCCCAAGAAACCTCACCATCCCCCATTCCATAAACCTAGGCCCTGTAGCCAAGATATCATTAGCAATCAGTAATTGTCTGGCTATCTTCTCAGTAGTCCACCATAGTTCAGCCGGCTCAAACCATGGCTCGAGCCGTGTTTCTCGTATGGGTCTTGTGCGTGATTTTGGCCACAACCAACCTTGCACAAGGTTTAGGTGTCAACTGGGGTACAATGTCATCGCACCTTTTGCCGCCTAAAAAAGTTGTTCAGATGCTCAAAGACAATGGGATCAAGAAAGTGAAGCTTTTCGATGCAGAGCCTTCGACCTTGAATGCATTGGCCGGGTCAGGTATTCAGGTCATGGTCGGAATCCCGAACGACAAGTTGGAAAAGCTTGCTGATAGTTTCTCAGAGGCACAAGAATGGGTGAAGGAAAATGTTACCAAATGGCTTCACGACGGCGGCGTTAGTATCAGGTTTGGATTAAATTTCTTCTCCTTAATCTGCATATATAATTAGCATGCGTTTTTTTAATCCTGAAATTAGTATGATCAGAGGTTTAATTAACATATTTTTGTTGTGTTTTAACTTTTAATGTACAGCAATGTGGGTGTTGGTAATGAGCCATACTTGACGAGTTACAACGGCACCTACGTTAAGACTACTTACCCGGCATTGAAAAACATTCAAAAGGCCCTAGATGAATCAGGCGCTGGGGACAAAGTCAAAGCCACAGTGCCCTTCAATGCTGATGTTTACGAATCATCGTCAAACAAACCATCAGACGGGTGTTTTCGAAAGGATATTAAGAACAATATGGTCGAGATACTCTGTCACCTTCGTGACAGTAAGGCCCCGTTTGTTGTAAACATCTACCCCTTCCTCAGTCTCTACCAGAACGCCAATTTCCCACAAGAATTTGCTTTCTTTGAGGGCAGTAGCAAGCCAGTTAGAGACAACAACATCGAGTACAAAAATGTGTTTGATGCAAACTGCGATACGCTGATTAATGCACTGAAGAAGGAAGGTTTTGGTAACATGGAAATCCTAATTGGGGAAGTGGGATGGCCAACCGATGGTGACAAGAACGCCAATATAAAAAATGCTAAGAAGTTTTATGATGGCCTCCTCAAGAAACTTGGCAAGGAGGAGGGCACCCCTCTTAGGAGGGGAAAAATCGAAGTCTACTTGTTTGGCCTTTTCGACGAAGACCAGAAAAGTGTGGCTCCCGGAGACTTTGAACGTCACTGGGGTATTTTCCGATATGATGGACAGCCAAAGTTCCCAATGGATCTCAGCGGAAAAGGATCCGGAAATCAAATGCTGAAAGCCGTACAAGGAGTGGAATACTTGGACAAGCAGTGGTGTGTGTTGAACAGCCACGTTAAGAACTTGAGCCAAACGCAAGCGGAACTGAATTACGCTTGCGCTGAGTCTGATTGCACAAGCTTGGGGACTGGAAGGTCATGCAATTTGGATCAACAGGGAAACGCCTCTTATGCTTTCAACATCTACTTCCAAACCAGAGACCAAGATGTTCGAGCCTGTGATTTTAATGGGATGGCAACTATCACGAAAAGCAATCCCTCGGTAGGAGATTGCCTCTTCCCAGTTCAGATTGTCAGCGCCGGAGCGTCGAGGCACGGTGCAGTTGGTGCGGCTTATGCACTAAGCATCTTTGCAGGACTGTTGTGGATGATGATATGAGCTACTTCACTATTAACTAATTACATAAAATAAAAAATTAATTGTATATGGCACTGTGACTAATCAAGTTTAATTATCCATATATGATGCTTGTATTAGATAATTACGGTGTCCTAAACTGTGAAATGCCCTACCTAGCTAGTAGCTAGTTTCAAGGCTCGTTTCTCTACAGCCTTGAACACTCGATATATGTACGTAGGATGCAGAACAATTTAGACAACGGAAAAAAATGATATGAGAAAAGTAGACACTAAAATTGCGTCCGTACATACAAAGTTTAGTAGAAAAGAGCCAGCTAAAATTAGAAAAAAATTAGTCTAGTAACAAACTTTCTTCACGCTTCCTTTGACATCTTTTCTTATAAATAAGAGGCCTTCAGATCCGTTGAACACATGCATATATATCTTTGTTTAACTCCACTCCATTGGCTAAATTGTTCGTCTTAAACTCCAATCATAAAATTAAGGAGTAGTCACAGTTCAAAAGAACTGTAGCCATCACGATCAGTAGCTAGCTAGCTAAGAGCTAAATGTTTCTTGTATGGTGGTTGTATTCCGTAATGCTGGGAATCTGGGTGGACCTGGACCTTGTACAAGGTTTAGGTGTGAATTGGGGGCAAATGTCGTCGCACCCTTTGCCTCCGAACGACGTTGTTAAGATGCTTAAGGACAACGGGATCAAGAAGGTGAAGCTTTTCGATGCAGATCCTACGACCATGAAAGCCTTGTCCGGCACTGGAATTGATGTCATGGTCGGAATTCCCAATGAAAAATTGAACAAAATTGCTCACGATTACGCAACTGCCCGAAAATGGGTCAAACAGAATGTCACCGCGTATCTTCATGACGGAGGCGTCACCATAAGGTATGCATGTGTGTGTGTTCATGTCCAAAATGTGTGTCATCCGATTCAAAAATTAGCGAAACTGAGTGACTTGATCCATCTGTTGTTGTTTAATTGTCTTCCACAGCTATGTGGCTGTCGGGAACGAGCCATTCTTAACAAGTTACAACGGTACTTTTGTTAAGGATGTCTACCCGTCGGTGAAAAACGTTCAAAAGGCCCTCGACGAAGCGGGCGTTGGAGGAAAAATCAAATGCGTTGTTCCCTTCAATGCCGATGTTTACGAATCTCCTTCCAACAAACCATCAGACGGGCGTTTCAGAAAGGACATAAAGAAAAGCATGATGGAGATACTGGAGTACCTTCGTACGCATAAGTCGCCATTTGTTGTCAACATTTATCCCTTCCTTAGTCTCTCCCAAAGCTCCGGCTTCCCGAAAGAATTCGCCTTCTTTGATGGTGGTGGCAAGCCGGTTAGAGACAACGGTGCCCGGTACAGCAACGTGTTCGATGCAAATTACGATACACTTCTTTGGGCGCTTAAGAAGGCGGGCGTCCCGAACTTGGATATCGTAATTGGAGAAGTAGGATGGCCTACTGACGGCCACGACTTCGGGAATAGCAGATTGGCGAAGAAGTTCTATGATGGCCTCCTAAAGAAACTCGCAAGTGAAGTGGGAACCCCTCTTAGGAAAGGGTACTTGGAAGTGTACCTGTTCGGGCTCTTTGACGAGGATGAGAAAAGTATTGCTCCGGGGGACTTTGAACGCCATTGGGGAATATTTCGCTACGATGGCAAGCCTAAATTTCCCATGGACCTCTCTGGCCAAGCGTCCGGACATCAGATGCTAAAAGGCGTAGAGGGAGTGAAATACCTGGAGAAGAAGTGGTGTGTGTTGAATAGCGATGTTAGGAACTTGAGCCGTGCACTAGCAGAATTCAATTACGCGTGCTCGCAGGCAGATTGCACAAGCTTGGGAGGGAAGAGGTCGTGTGACTTGGAAATGCATGATAGAATCTCTTATGCTTTCAATGAGTTCTACCAAAAAGGAGACCAAGATTACCGGAAATGCGATTTCAGCGGCATGGGAACAAAGGTAACACGCGATCCCTCCAAAGGAGATTGTCTATTCCGGGTACAGATTGATCTACTAAGTGCTGCCGGGCAGAGGCACGCCTTAAGTTACGCATATGCATCACTGCTTTTCGTTATTGCCTTCTTCACATTATTTTAACCATTTCCGTCTGTTGGAATCCCTCAACATTGACATGTACGCTCGCAATTTCAAATCACTGAATTAAATTTATCGTTAGAATGTTACTAAGAAATTGGAAAGAAAGAACGTTACATCTAAAAGTAAAGTTTAAAAGAGAGATTCAACCAAATTGTACATCAAGTATCACGCGTTAAAAACATCAGTTAATTTCAAGTGTAACTACAAGATGCATAGGAAGAAACCAAATTTTCTGACAATAGTAACAGTTAAAGCTTGTCAAGTTTCCAAAAGCTACTGAATCGCCAATCAACGGGAAACATTATAGTACCTGCATTACAAGTGCAAGTCGTGGGATTAGGAGGAGGATAGTGGCAGCCCAAGCAATGAGGTTATTGATTAATTCCAGTAGAAGGGAAAGTTGATGGAGTCTCTCAGACAACAACATTCTCTAGCTGAATCCCAAACTACGCAAGAACACCAATCTCAAATCCAGTTAAATGCAACCGAACCCAGCCCTGGTATATGAACGATACTCTGCAGTTAAATGTATAATTGCAACAGATCCCAGATATAAAAGTGCAATCGTCACTTCCGGTATGAGAACTCCTTATGAAAATCCTTCTTAAACTGTTCCCCGCATTTGTTGTTGGCTGCTGCCAACACAACATCATTAAGAAATCCCCTTTGTGGAAATTCTTCAGGCACTAAAGCCCGATATGTTTCAAACTGTTCTGCAGCTTCCTTTTTCTGATCTAGTAGACTGTAGATAATTCCCTGAGACACATGCCAACTAGTTAGTAATCATTGCACTTCTGAAAGCACCACTATTTGTTTCTCTTTCTTTTTAACGACCATTAGTTCTATGATTTTATCCCATACACTCAATGTGCAACATGCATTGCACACTGACTTTCAAGCTTATTCCAGTGTTCATGCATTCCAGTGTCCATGCATTCAAGTAGGATTACAGTATACTTGGGAAAGAACCATATAACAGAAAGCAAAACTTCCCCTCTTCAACAAGTCCAACAGAATAATTCCTCAAACTAGTAATAAAAAAAAATAAAAAAAATAAAAAAAAATAAAAAGCGCATGACTCTTCTCTCAGCACAACTTCTGTGTTTTAATGGACTAATCTCTGCAAAAGATAGACCTAAATGAGACATGGGAGGGGTAGTGTTGTTAAAGTGATTTTTCTTTCTTGATTCTGAAAATACAGTTTGTATCTAAGCTAGTACAACTTTGGAAATGCTTGACAAAGCAATACGTATAGGGTGGAGTGCCTTCTTCGAGCACTCATTGATCATGCAACCTAACCTATTGTCTTAACAACCGTAATGCAGAGACAAATTTGTGGTGCTCCATTGCACATAGGTAGCAGGCTGTTAAGCTAAAACGAACCAACATGAAATTATATGTCGCTCAAGGACGATAGCTATCAGTCACTAGGAGAAATAATATCTCATATTAGATACTATTAATTTTGTTGGTTTACCAGTATTCCTGAAAGATTTAAGTTGTTAGAATGTAGGTCAACTATTGTCTTATAATCTAACATTTCCTCACATGTGACTCCCAGTCCCATACCCTTAGACCGCTTTACTCATAAATTCAAAATAAATTGGGAGGTTGCAGTTCCAGGTGAACTTAGGATCTCTTGGTATGATACATTGTAAATTTTTTTGTCCCAATGTTTTTAAAAGCTAAAGTTGTTAAATTGTTAGGATACCAGTCAACTATAAGTTTAAGGAAAACCAAAGAAAAACAAGCAGAAGCAAGTGAATGATGTGACGAACTCACCCGACAAAGATAAGGCCGAAAATCTCGTGGATCTGCATTGACCAGATCTTGGAATTTGTTCAAGCCTTCTTCCAGTTCTCCCTAAAATGCATAAATGCATACAAAGGTCACAAGTTTGTAAACAGACCATATTACTTCTGATTTCCGCTAACATTAGTGGCAACAGATAGCAATTGGTTTTACCTACAAGAATTCAATTTGAACAATGAATTTATGCTCTCAAATACAATTCAAGAACTTTCATAGAGTGATAATTTCATAGGACATCCCAATAACCACACCCTCTCCGGTTAACAAGTTTAGAAAATGAAGGTTTGAACAGATTTATCAATTACCATTATAACATGCATCTGTGCAATCAGAATTCTTATATTCCTCTCCTCAACAACTCTTTTTTCACGCCGTGCAATTTCTAAAGCCTTATTAAGCATTGAAAAAACAGCTGGACCTTCATGGTTTTTGTGCATAACCAATGCCAGACCCTGAACAAAGAGAAGATCAGTAAGTTTTTCAGTTTCTCAAGCAAAGAAACATAAGCTACTGTAGAACAATAGTGAACTATCAATATACTGACTACACCGTCATTGATTATGCCACAATTTTAATGTGGTCGAAGTTGAATCCACCCAGTTAGGTAACTGAAAACGCAAATACTCAGTGAACTAGATATATCTGTTGAAATAAGATTTCAACGGAAACCCAACAACGAGGATCAACTCGTAAAGTAGAATGCTTCAACTTCTAACACCAAGCCCGAAACGGTGATGAGACAACATGAAGCAATGCAGTTAACAAGAAAAAGACAGATGGAACTAGAAATAAAAGTTAATTCTTACTCTAAAATCCCTTTAAATTCTAAATTAGACAAACAGAAATACGAAACGAAGTAGAAATTGAACGTAATTTACGTGCAATTCTTATGAAAACCAAGGACACAGCAGCCAACACAAAGTTTGATTCATCCACTGAGCCAATTCAACAATACGCCAATCCCTCAATTTTAAGTTTAAGGGTATACGTGCCTATTACTATGATCCATCCAACCTCATTAAGTAATCAAAATATATATAATTATAAGATCAATCAACTATTTTAACATAAATAATAATAAATGTATAAAAAGCCCCAGAAGGCAGTATCGATTAGCAATGGCATACATGCAAAGCTCTGAGCAAAAGAGGCCTGTCCTCCAAGATTTGCTGATACAATGTTTTAGCACAAGTGAGTTGGCCCATGATCTCATAACAAAGAGGCAGCATTAGCCTCCATTCGAGCTCGTGCGGCTCGAGCTCAATTAACCTCTCCACATAGCTGACAGCCTCCTCTGCCTTCCCTCTCCTCAGTTTCCCATACAAAACAACCTTCAAAGCACCAACATTTTTTGGGTCATCCACCAGAATTTTGTGGTACATTTGCTCCTCCTCCTCCTCAATTTTCCCTTGGTGGGTAGTCTCTGTCTTGTCCTCCAGATTTGGAGTAGTTTGAGCAGCTCGCGACACAGCTGCCCATTTGAAACAGCCAAACCCAGCAAAGAAAACTGACCCAAGAACAACAAAACCCACAAGTGCTTTTTGCGGCAAAGTTGTTGATGAATCTTTGGTTTTGTGGGGTTGGAAACAAAGTGAAGGTTGAAGTTTAGAGCAGGAGGAGGAGGATGAGGAGGGTGTGGAATAATTGGTGAGAGTTGAGGAGCGTCGCTGTCTGAGTGCAAGAGGGTGAGAATTGGAGTGGAGGAATGAGGGCTTGCGATTGTGGCTCAGAATTTCAACTTCAAGAAGAGGAAGAGAGCAAGCACTCGCACTCGCAGCACAACTCCCCCAAACCATCTCAACCTGCAACCGGTAAGATTCAGGAGCTTAAAATCATAGCAGCAGCTGGCCAAATAAAAGCAGGGAACAATATTTCTAGTGTTGCATTTGCATTGCGGATTTTATTTTTAGGTCATCACTTTCTGAAATTCAAAATTCGTTCAACTTTGAGTTATTCTCCTTAAAACTCATCTTCTGAAACATACGTAGGACCCAACACACAATAAGACTATGTCAAATGTATAACAAAATTGATCATAAATCTTATTTATGCGTTAATATGCAACAATAAGAGAATATTAAGTTTAAAAGAAATTGAACAGATGAAAAAATGAGAAAGAAATTGATTAGCCTATCAGACCCAAATCAAATCCATATAAGAAATTAATAGATCTAAGTCTATATGGAGCGAATTTTGAGTTTTATAGAGATGACTTTCAAGTTTCAATAGGCAAAATAAGATCAAAATCAAGTTTCATGGACAAAATTGTCACATCCTGGGCTCGACTCCACCGTAGTATAATATTGTCTGCTTTGGACCCCTACCACACCTTCATGGTTTTGTTTCTAGGAACTCACAAGAGAACTTCCTAATGGGTCACCGACCGAAAACAGGGCGTGTTGGGCGTCACGCCCTGTTTTCGGTCGGGGTGTGTTAAAAGTAGAGCGAACTTTGAGTTTCAAAAAGTAAAATAGCAACTTTTGAGTTACAAGGAGAAAATTGAGATTTTCAGATGGCGTAGCTAAAAATTAGTCTTTTTAACTTGAGAAATGCTAAAGAGACTCTCTCAAAGTGAGACTCTCAATGGAGTCTCTGCCACCTCACAGTTTAACATTAATATCTGTGTCAATATTATAAAATATTGTGTCAAAACTATAAGATGGCAGAGAATCTATGAACAACCCCATTTTAAAACAGTATCCTTAGCATTTTTTTTTAAGTTTTATATAAACCAATGAGTTTACTTTATCTCAAGCGAAAATGATGGATTGTTTACATTTTTTATTTTAAAACTTTGTTGTGAGTATAAGACCACTTCCAACCCATTAAGGCAATAATTGCCCCCATCAATCATGCAAAGGTAGTTATTGCTTTATTAAATAGTAATTTCTCAAGTGCATCTTTATCAGTAATTGAATTGTCCAAGCAATTGGCATTAAAAAATTAATATTATGCTTAATTTGAAATAGAACTTTTATCCAATCTTGTAACGCTACTTGTTATTATCCGAACTTACAATCCAGTCACGGTCACGCACGATTCATATTCCCTTTATTTTAATTATTATTTTTTGTATTTATTTATAATTTTTAAACATTTTTTTAATAACAAAATTAATATAGATTGTTGGATGATCTTTTTTTTTTGATAATCCAAGAGTTTAGATTGTGCTACGTGGGCACAAGTCTTCTTGAGATTTTATTTTTTGAAAAAAAAAAAATTTGGATTAAAACAGACTGTTCCGTCGGATTTGGGAAATCCAATAGCTCATATAGTAGCAACCCTGACTGTTGTAGCCCGGGACCTGCTACCTGTAATTTTTCAGACCACTTGTGAAGCGCATGCACTTGGTGATAAAAAATTATAATGTGGGTGACATCAACACTCTCTTAGGCACTTGGTTGGGCGATTGTGGCCTGATTGAGCAGTCGAGCCTGCTTCATTTTCACTGTAGATGGACTAATTGGCCTTCGGGTGGAGAGGATTTTGTAAGTTTTGGAGAATTTAATCACCCAATTACTTGAGCAATAGAGAGGGGCGAACTTGCTCTAAATGGCAAATGCGTTTCTGTGTTTAGTTTGCGCCTTAATTAATTTTGCAGGTATCTAACCAAGCGAAACCTGCAAATTTTGCAAAAACTAACGTGAGATGTCAGCTATTTGTTGAGTATTTATCAAATATAGTCAAATATTAGCTCTTGATTTAAAAAATGTCAGTTTTTATAAAAACTTTCAAATATATTCAAAATATCACTTAAATAGACACAAATACCCATAAGTTTTAAACCTAATAAATTTAAAACCAAAACCTTAATTGTAACAACCCGTCCCCAAAAAACTACGGTTTTTATAATTTTAAAATGTGAAATTTCAAAAATGCCCTTTGAGGTAAATGCATTGACTTTTGTTGACCACCTTGTTGAGTCACGTAAGATCCATTTTCTTGGCATATCCTCGTAGTACTTGTTGCTACGAATGTGTGGGCGCAAACAAAACATAATTTGGAGTTATAACGAAGGAATTATTAACGAATGACGTTGAGGGTAAAATTGTAAATTTATTATTTTCTGGAATGCTTTAGATTTTTTGAGTAAAATCTGGAAAGCCACGTGTGTGGCCTAGATTAAAGGAAAGAAAAGTGGGTGGTTGAGATGGAAGATAAAGGAGAGAAATGAGGGGGAACCAGATTAATTAGGAAAGGGAGAAAAGGAGAAAACCAATGGGAGATGAGAAGAAAGGAAGGAAGGAGGGAAGAGAGAAGGAGAGGAACCTGGTCTTCATCCCCTTGACCCGTGACCCATTTCAAAACCTGATTACCCCGAGTGAATTCCGATGCATTCCCATTATTTTTTCTAGCAAATTAGGACCTCCTATCACTTGCCAACGTCATCACGCCCCTCCTCCTTAGTTGATCGCCAAAAAATTCGAAGTAAATGAGGCATTTTCATGGTGTACGACGACGATGGCGCCGTGGGACTCTTCGTGGCAATCTGCCAATTCTGAATGAAATAAACTTGATCTTCACCATCAAAGCACTCCTTTAGAGGTCAGGAACAAAGCCCAAACAAGTTTGGGGATAGTGGAGTTGCAAATTTGGCGAATCAGCTCACCCAAATTTTAGGGTTTCGGTGGGTTCGAGAAAAATTGAAGAATTTCCCTGCCAAATTGGACTTGACCACAGGTATAAAACTTACTCTACTCATTGAGATCTTTATTTCTGTGAAATTTGAGAATTTTTAGAAATAATTGATTTTTTCGGCAAGTCGGGACGGTTGACCACCGTGTACGGCGACGCGTGGGCCGAGGCATCTCCTGACCTTCCTAGGCTAAGTTTGATTCTCGAATTCCATACCTGAAGTCCGATTGATGAATTTCCATCGTTTGAACCTAGTTCCATTAAGGTCTGCCGCTTGATTATTATAACAATCGACAATCCGACTGTTGGATCGTCACCAAACTTTGATACGTTATAGTACATAATATTTGAGGATATTAGAAACTTACGGATTGGGAATCCGACATAAGAATCTTCCCGAATAGGATATGTAAGTTACGTGTTCTATTGATAAGAATTCTGAGACGTGATTTGCTAATTGTTTTAGGCGTAGATCGTTCATGATGCCTCGATATTCATGCTAGGAAGTTGTAGCGCGGACCTCAGGTGAGTGGGTCTTTTTCCTTTTTATAGTGTGTGTGTGTGTGTGTGTATATATATATATATATAAACTTTACAATTTCAAGAAATGTTTTTATTTTTATATGGAGCTATGCTTTGCTTGCCATGTCATGAATAAGTTACATTTTAAATATTGCATTGTTACACTTGTGAATTGTATTGTGTGATGATGCGGAGACTCAGGTAAGCTTTAGGTGAGTATTATGTGATGACTAAATAGCCAAAATGGCCCCTGAGATTTGCATAATCAATAGAAATGGTCCCTGAGATTGTCCACCATCCATGATTTTGGTCCTTCTGTTAAAACTCTTTGCGCAAATTTCAAAACTTCATAACTCAATCATTTCTTAACCAAATTTGACCCATAATATATCAAAATGAAGATAGGCAAGTGTAGAACAAGATTATACATTTGGAAGCCTAATGGTTGCCAGAGATGGCCGAAAAATAGCCTAAAATGTGATTAGTTCGCGGGAAAACTGGAAAACTTACTGGAAACTGGGTAAACTTTAAATGTTCATAACTTCTTCAATACTCAACAAAATCAAGTGATTCAAAAACAAAAATCATACTTCTCGACAAGATGAATATAATGGTACCTTTTTCGATGGCTAAATCGAAGTGGTTTGGCTGAAAAACTGCTCGAAAGTGGCTAACCATTTTCGAGCCATTTTTCTGTCAAATCATGGCGATTTAGTCATCGAAAAAGGCACCATTCTCTTCGTCTCATCGAGAAGTATGATTTTTGTTTTTGAATCACTCGATTTCGTTGAGTATTGAAGAAGTTATGAACGTTTAAATTTACCCAGTTTCCGGCTAGTTTTCCAGTTTTCCTGTGGACCAGTCACCTTTCAGGATATTTTCCGACCATATCTGGCAACCATTGTGGCTTCCAAATAGGTATAATCTTGTTCTACACTTTCCTATCTTCATTTTGATATATTATGGGTCGAATTTGGTTAAGAATCGATTGAGTGACGAAGTTTTGAAAATTGCCCAAAGAGTTTTCAACGGAAGGACCAAAATCATGGATGATGGACAATCTTAGAGACCATTTCTATTGATTTTCAATCTCTGGGGTTATGCAAATCTCAATGACCATTTTGGCTATTTAGCCTTATGTGATTGAATGGGTTGTATTGCATTGGTATGCACACATTTATTTAGAGCTCATCATGGTTACACCCCTGTATTAGTGCTCTCACCTGGGGCTAGGGCCAACCTTCACGTGATTGTTCACCTCCCGCACTGCACGCTTACCTTGGATCCAAGTCTGGTGTCAACTTGTCGTACAGATCATAATAGGTGGTTCCGACTAATAGGTGACCTGTGATTTATCGCACAGCTTTCACGTGATCATAGCACTTGAGTGTGCATATTCATACCCAGCCTATTGTATAGGTCATATTAGGTGACTCCGACTCATGTGCTAGCCTAGATTGATGAGCTACAGGCTCAGTCGTACATGTTACGTTAGGTGACTACGATTGGCATACTATTTTATATTGGTTTCACACCTGGCTTACATTTATTATTGCCAAGATATTATGACATGGCATGCTTCAGTTTTTGCTGCTCCTGTGCATTGGTTTTTATACCTACGTAGTAGTATTATATTCTGTAAACTATATGGGTTTTACGGTAAGGGGTTATAATGCTTTCAAAAGGTTTTTATTAAAACTTTATTTTTAGGCTCATTCACCCTTGTTTGTCGCCCCTCTAGGTGTTAGTAGCAGAGTTTTCGAACCGACGAGGATTATTGGCAAATCTTGGTGTAGGTGATTATCATCGATAGTATAATTCTCACCCTATTTTACTGTACTGTACTGTACTGTACTTATGCTCTGTTATCACGTGTGAAATGGGTTCAAACCTGCTCACCGCACACTCTTGTATTTAGGCACTTTTAGGTTTAAATTTATTCATATCTTGCACATTAGTACACCCTATGGCTTCGTCACCTTCTAGGTGTTGGCCAACATTGAAGGAAGATTTGTGAAAAACATGTTCATTTAAGCAACATCAATAGCATGCAATTAACAATTAAAGGCGGAATCATGCTTGTATGCACTTAAAACAAAACATTTACCCATGAAATTCAAAGCCTAGTAGATAGGTGAACCAAGACTCAACTCAAAACAAAGTGAGTTGAGAAATCAATACCTTTGTAGATTCCTCTTTGCATAAGCAAAGGCTAATCACCCAAAGAGAGGGCCTTCATTCCTTGCATCTTAGATCCATGGATTTGGATGGATGAAAAGGTTTCTCCAAAGTTCCCAAAATTGAGAACCTCTAATGATTCATCACCAAGGCATAATGAAGAAGAAATGAGTGACCTTGGAGGAGTTTGATTGCTAGATGATCCCTCCAAGGTGGCCTAAATTTTAGAGAGAAAGGAGAGCTTGTGTTCTCATCCTTTCCCCAAAAATTACCATTTTTAAATTTTAGGCTATAAAGTCTTTTATATAGTCCCTTCAAATAAGTGACCTAATGGACCAAAAGCCCTATTCTTCTAACATGGCAAGCCTATAGGGTTTATTGGGCTTTCAAGCCCTTTGTTTATTCAAGTTGTCATACAACTTGAGTTAATGGGCTTGACATTCAAATCCCATTGGGCCTTGCGGCCCAAAACTAACCCGAGGTCTTTAACGAACTTATTCGTTTGATTAATTAACATATTAATTAATCCTAGCCTTAGATAAATAATTAAACCATTTAATTATTCTTACTCATCTCCATTGTTTCTTCAAACTCTACCTTACTCGGTGAACGATCCATTAGGTTCCTTTTAGCGAGGCAGTGGGCGATTAAAACTCTTTCTAATCGATTGTGAATTGAAACTTACTTTCAATTCTCCCGTTAGTGATAATACACTTTTAGGGCTTCCACAAACCATGGTTGACGCCTAGCAGCATGTCATGGTTACCCAAGCTAATCAGAAGAGGTGGAGAACCTATTCAGTTTTAGGATTACAAATGCAATACGGTCTTTCTCTAATACAATACTCTTGACCACATTGTTTGGTTTGATAGTTTATTCATGTCTACTATCCAATGTGAGTCTTGTGCTTATATGATTACCTTGAATGTGATTTGGAACACATTCCTAAATCTCATTCATACTTTGGCCAAAGATTCTTAATCATATCATAGAGTATTCTCCCTCAAATAGTTTGAAGGTTAGAGATCCCTTGTTGCGCATTCACTTGCCTCCATGGCTAAGTGGCTTAACCCCAACGATGCCATGGACACCCTCCTGATGGAGTGACTTTGACATAATCAAAGATTAAGGACCTAACCACAAGACAACTGTGATGCCTCAGGTCAAAAGACTAATTTGCATTATCCCAACCATGAGTTCTCATGTGACATGAATATGAGAACTCTTTGTTGATCGTGTTCAGTGAACTCATTCTCTATTGAGCACCTACGTACTTGTCTTGATGTCACACACACCAATGACTCGAGACTAGTCACTCTCCCTGAGAGAAGACATAGCACGTACTGATCTTAACGGACTGTCAATGCCCAATTGACAATCCTATGATCAGGAACGTTTAGGATGTGTCAACGAAAGAATGGTCTCATGAATCTAACTTCTTTAGATCGCATTCTTCCAATCACATATTCCTTGGACTTATCGTTTAAGCATATAACATTTATATGAGACGGCTCAAACAATAATGTTTGCCCTTAATATTAAACTAGATTAGTTTAACATGTGAAATGTCCATAAAGTATCATCATATGATTGGTTTTAGGGCACATTTCCAACAAACATAACTCGATTTGGAGTCCTAGTGGACATATCGGGTCGGGGTGTGTCACTATTAGATGAAGAGTTCTCGCAGCTAAACCTTAAAATTGGAGGAGTAGGCATCAACTGTTGGTGAAGAAATATGCACCCGTAAACGAAGATGAGTGTAGATGGTTAATTTTTTGCACTTTTCCTCATCTACGTTTTCTCTTTGCTTTTGTAGTTTCTTCCTTCGATTGAATATTTATAGAAGAATGAACTGTTAATTTTTGTAACATTATTTATCTCAATTATCCCTTCGATTATATGTGCTTCGTATTTAATTTTCCACACCTTTGCATTATTAAGGGTATTGTCAGTGTTTGGATTTTGTTTTGAAGGTTATCATTGACTATTGTAGTGAATCGAGAGATTTGTTGTGTTCTTAGAAAGTGCAAAAGGCATATTTTAAGGTTTACTGAATAGATATTCTTTGGGTGCATATTAGAAAAATTAGTGAAAGCACCACTTGATTATCGCACAAGAATTTTTTAATCAACTAGTTATTTGTATGAATTAAGGGTATTTGTGTCTATTTAAGTAATATTTTGAATATATTTGAAAGTTTTTATAAAAACTGACATTTTTGAAGTTAAAGGCTAATATTTGACTATAATTGATAAATACTCATTTCTGTTTGTCTAAAATTTACGAGAAAAGGAATATAGCATGCTAATTTTGAATTCACAAAAATACCTAATGCAAATTACTCGAAACAACTTCCATGTTAGTAAATAAAATAACCTTGTACATAAACAGTTTGTTCTTGTACTAAGATTTGTAGCGGAGCCCACCAAGCTCCACGAACAACCCACAAGATTTGTAGTTAAAAACAAAATAAGTAAATAAAACAAAATTATCACTTAATATTACAGTCTAGTGATATTCTTCTTAACTTGCAAGTAAGAGGTCTTAAATTCGATTCTCGCCAAAGACGAATTTGAACCACATTATTGCTAGCCCATAAGTGAGGCTTAGCTCACTCCCCTCACCCCCTTAGTTTAGTGTTTAGATAATATCATTTGTTCTTAAAAAAAAAAAAAGAAATGGTATTTATACAGTATCATGGAACAAAAATTCCAAAATATAATTATAAATTGGTCATAGTGATAACAGCTTCCCAGTTCTCACCTGGACCTGGCAAAGCAAGTATTATACTCTGATAAATCTGAAAAATTACAAAAGCGCGCATAAACCTCATGGATTTGGGAATAATTGCACTCCAAAGTCGAAACCAATCGGAGCCTTATTAAAACAGGAGGATTATTCCCCCAATTACCCCCAACTAAGTCATCAGTTTCCAGATTCTACCAAAATATTTGGTTCATCTCAAAAGAAGCCACTCTCAATGCAATCCCAGATCCTTAGATGAAGTTTCGGATGTCTAACGACTTCACATCAACCATTGCCTCATCCTTAAATTCCTCCCTGACAAATATTCAAAACAAAACTACATATCAGTCCTGTAAAGGGCAAGTTACATCGACTAAATTTCACCAATGCCAATTTAACGATAATAAAGACTCAAAATATATATATTGTTAGGAGACTGCAAGCAAATGGTTCAATCTCCAACTCTAAACAAAACAGTATGCTGAATCCATAACGACCCTCAATGGTTTAGATCTGCAAAAAAACATACATGACAAAAGAGGAAGTAGGCAAAGACATGGATAAATTACCGTTTCTTCTGAGTTTCCATTGCCTCAAGAGCATCCTTCTTAAGTTCCTCCAGCTGTGCTTTGGCTTTCTTGAGTTCTAGCTGTTCTTCATACTTTGGTAGGTCCTCCTTACGAATTCCAAGCCTTAAAAGACAAGGTTAGACTAGATCAGAATTTCGTATCTCATATCAGCTATGGAAGAATACGATAAGCAAGAGTTTAGCCATATGCAAACCAATCAGTGGACAGCGACTTGGAGCCTGAGACACAATGGGTTTACAATCCCCAGATTACAATTGTGACCGTCATAAACAAGATTAACTTCACCCCGCTAATTGCAATTTTTTCAAAAAGAAAAGTAGTTTCTGGGGTTGGTGGTGGAGTGCAAAGAAGGAAATAGTGCAGCCAAAATCAGCTTGAGATTGAACATTGTTTGAAAATCCCAGCATGTCAACAATGGGATTAGACGGGGCAATGCAATTTTAATCTAAAATCTAAAAGGTAAAAACAAATCAGTGCTTTAGCAGAAACTACTTTTTATATGAGAGTTCGCAATTAACCATGAAAAGATGTGATCCAAAAACTGACCATGCAAGTACAGTAAAGGTGTAAATAAAAGTTAATCGAGTGTCCTGCTCTGTATTCAAAACATTATTTAAAATGAAAAAAAAAAAAAAAAAAGGAAAACAATTGTTACCTACTTCTGGTTTATTTTCTCAAATTCTGCCATGAGAACAGCCATCCCCTTTTTATCACTCCTCAAAAGTGGTTTCTTCAGCTCCTTTTCAACTTTCTCCAATGCATCCATCATCATAGCCTCTGCACCAAGTTCGTCAGTGAGACCTCTCCTGCAAAAGGGAAAGAAATACGTTAATTGGAAAATGTAACGGTAAAAGCGTTAAGTATGGATGTTCACAAGGCAGACGTATGCGTAAACAGAAAAACCCTAAATGACAGTAGGTACTCAATCAAAATCCATCTTACTTAACATTACACATAATCCTACCAAAACAATACCACCACATAGAACTAGATTTTAGCATTACACTGCAGGCAATCAGACGATTCTGAAGTTATTGTAGCCCAAAGCTAAGTCCAAAATATAATATTCTCCTCAATCTCCTCCAATCAGCCCCTCCACAATCTTCAAAATCCTCTTGCTTCTTTCCTACCAAACTAATTAAATAACTGCCACTGCCAGCATGCTGCATACCTTCAACACTTCAGCCGTCTTCCCTACCCCAAATAACTTCTGCCACTCACGTAACCATGCCGGACATCCTGCTGGGATCAACATAATTGAAGTCTGCAGAATGGTGAATACACCATTTTCACCTCCACACATAACACACCAACAAGGTGATAGACAAGGTTTTGGTCTTTGCATTTCAATCTTATCACATGTACTCACTTTGCCGTGAGCAATCAACTAGGCCAAAATTTGCACCTTCACACCTCTGATTTCCAAATGGAGGAGTAAGAATAGAAGGCATTATCACCCGCATTGTCACACAGGCTTTGAAAGAAAGGTACAACATATTGATTCCAGTAGCAACATACTAGAAACAGCTCTATTGCTAAAAAATATTAAAAAAATCTCCAAAGAAGAGAACAAATCAGCCATCTTCCTTGCCTTCTAACCATTTAAGTTCTTCATTAAATCATAGTCCCAGCTGAAAGACAGTTTTGCATGCCAACCCACCACCACCCACCCAACAACCCACCACCACCCCTCCCGCCCCACCACACCCCACCCCCCCCCCCCCAGCGGGCCGCCCCCCCATCCACAACAAAAAAAAAAACCCTAAAAAAAGACAGTTTTGCATGCCACCCATCTTCTTGAATCCCATGCATGCTTCTTATTATCATATACCATAAAGCTTTGTTTTAAGGAAAGAGGCCACAACCATTTAGTGATTTGTATCCTTCCCAACTCAGCCCACAAGCATCTCTCATGATATCTTGCGCAACAAAAAATTGTGTAAAGGATGCTGTTTACTGGCCTCTCACCCTCCCAGTCGCCTCACCGCCTGAGAACCAGCCAGCCTTTCCACTTTATCTTCTTGGGAACTTATTCCAAATATACATTGGGACCCAGAATACATCCCCTCAATACAGAATCACAATTAGTAAACTTATCCAAAAATTCCCCTAAACATTACTCAGTGTTTAGAAACATCATGTAGGATGAGCACAAATATTAATAGCATTAATGGCCAAAGGTAATTGTTTCTGACTTTAGATCACTAAAATGACAATCACACTAAGTTTGTTAGAAACTATATATTAAAATAAGGCTTCATGAGTAATAACAGAAACAACATGGAGTATAGGCACAAAAATTAAAAACCACATTAATCCCATTATACAAAGGACATCCAACAATTTGAAGAACAGAGTAGCACGTACTTGATCCTAATTTCTTTCAATGTCAACAGATATGTTCTAGCATCTGGGATATCTTGTGTTCGGGTTTGGATGGTGTGTTTGATGCGCTGGGATTCTGAGAACAAATCAGCCCTGCAAGGCACAAAAATGCATTAGTAACCACTTCAAAAAAGTTAAAACGATGAAAGGTGGCATCTGATGAAGAAAAATACAGAACAGCACATAAGCTCCCTCCTCTAATACGATAGTCATTTTATCTACATTTCTCCGTCATACAATACCAGTAGAAGTTTATGGAAATAAAAGCACAAGATAAAAGGAGATCTACAGTAAAAATACAAAATTTTGCAAGTCAAAAGTAAATTATCCACTTACGAGTTACAGAATTACTAAATGTTCATGATGATAATCAATTGGTCAAATGAATTTGGATTTAAGTAACTTTTTGTGCAGATGATTCTAAGATGGAGATCTTAAACTAGATGGTTTGGATTATTAAACCTCATTGAAGAGTGCCTCGAACAATGAATCACTCTCAACGAATGGGATTACTCTTAAGAAGGGGGTCATATATATTATACATGCTATGGTTCAAGTTCCTTCACTGTTGATCACAAATATTGATTGTCCCTACCCTTTTTCCCTTCTCATCTCTGTCAATTTCCTTATTTGCATTACCTACAACTCCTTTCCTCTGTAAACTGTAGCAGTATATTATGTAAAAACTATACAAAAAGATTACAAATGGAGATAATGTACATTCTAGAAACATAACACTGCCATCCCTTGTGTTTATATATTTGTCACCAAATGTGAAATTATACAACATGTGAAAACAAATAGGCACATCTTTAAAACAACAAAGCAATTACATTACTCTAAGAAATAGACTGGTAAAGGGTTAAAAAAACTCACTTCTCTCTTATGGTTTTCATGACCTTGGCATACTGAGAAACAGCAGCTGGATCCTCTGGGTCAATGGTGATCTTCTCTTTGCGAAGTATACCAAGAGCTGTCTCAAATTTCTTTTTAACATCCAAGAAGATGTTCTTCAGCATCTCTTTACCCCTCAAACGTAAGAAATGTGCAGTAAGGTTTCATCAAATAATAACAAAGGAAAGACATAAATAAGATCAACAATGGATAGCCAGTCACCCATAAATACATCCTATCTAAAAGACACAAAAATACCAGATATCAAGTTTGGAACTTAGCATTGTATAGCACTCACATATTAAAACCAATGTAAATTTGAGAAAAGCGTAAAGCAAACCATTGTTCTCAACGTTAACCTTGCAAATCACAATGAATAGCATCACATAACCTCTTAAATAGGGCCAAGCATTTTGACTCACCATCACCCTTTAGCACGGGGCGACTTGCTTCCTTGGCGAAGTAACGGACCGGAATAACGCGATCCTGTTGAAGAATGACTCCATTGCCACACAGCTGAAACATTACAAAGAAAATTAATACAAAAATCCATGAATGCCCTGGCTTTCATTTCTCCAGAGATAAACACCCTCGGAGCATTTCGCATATTCATCATCTCTCGGATCACGAAAACTTCACATTACAGTATATCGCAAACTATGTCATCTGATACGCAATAATTTTAAGAAAATCAAAAATGAAAATCTGAAATGCCCAAATTATCTCAAACATTTTCTCAGAAGCAAAACAGCTAAAGAAAGAAATTTGAGAAATGAGGATCGAGTGACTGACCTGTCTGGATTTGGATAAGAGGCGGGAAGAGAAGGCCATGATCGTAGCTCAGTCCTCGTATTCTTCCTGTTCGTTTTCGATTTAGGGTTTGATTTGATTGCTCTGAGGCCTCTGAGTTCTGAGAAGTACAGAGAGAGAACGAGAGAGACAACGAGTTCCTCTGCCTATATCTGGATTCTGAACCGTTGGATGCTCACTTGAGGACGTAGTCTCTGGTAATTTACCACAATACCACAACGTTTTCTTTTTTTTTATAATTGTTTTTTTTTTTTTTTGTTTAAAGCATAGAAGGTTTTTTTTTTTTTTTTTTTTTTTTTGAACAACCGATATTATCTATATTAAGGAGAGACGGTGAGTTTAGTTTTACAATGAGCTAGTAATAATGTGGTTCAAATTCGTCTTTGACGAGAATTGAACCTTTAAGGCCTCGTTTGGCAACTCGGACTGTACTGACTATTTCTGTCGGATAGGATAAATAGCCACCGGATAGTACTGACTAAATTAGTCGGGTGTTTGGTGCAGTATCGGACTAGTGACCGTATTATTTATACTGTATTTGATATTATACTATATAGGAGGCATCAAACTTTAAAAAAAAAAAAATTTTAAAAATGAAATCATTTTTTTGTTCCCAGGTCTCTCCGCACCCCCCAAACACCCTCCCTCTCTCTCCCTTCTTCTTCCCCGACGGTAGAAGAATCCCAAATAATTGTTCCCCAACTCTCTCCGCCACACCCCCAAACTCCCTCCCTTTCTCTCCCATATTCTTCTTCCCCGACGAAATAATCCGGACGTTTTGGTTGGTTTTATTAAGCGGGTGTATACCGTATTATCCTATCCGACCGGTTAAATTAATCCGGTGCTTATTTAGTACGAGTGAACGCCAAACACCCGGGTCTGTATAACTAATCTTATCCGATCCTTTATCCGATTTGCCAAACAGGGCCTAAAACCCCTTATTTACAAGTGAAGAGGAATACATATATACCATAATATTGAATGACTTAAAAGAATATAAGTTAAAGTCGTTATCTGTACTAATAGAATTTGTAATCTTAGACGTTGATTATTGGACTATAATACTAATAACAATTCCCTAGTATCATATATTTGCTTTATGATTTACTATCAAAACATTTGTGAACGTGTCCATAAGACGCTCTATTTTTCTTTTTGTTTTTCTACAATACGGTGGCCTATCTAAAGGTCATCTGTAAGAGCAACTCCAGCGTTGGAGCCCTCCCCCCTGGCAATTCACTATTCAATCCACCTAATGAACAGTAATTGCCCTTAATGAACAGTAAGTAGCCCTGGCAATAGATTTTGCATCTCCACCGTTACACTTCTATAGCCCTGGCAATAGGCAATAAAATATTAGTATTTTTTTTATTTATAAAATTAATACAAAATAATTTTAAATGTAATATCGGATAAGATTTTTAATCGTTGTCGGTGCGCCACGTGTCATTATCCTAAGTATTATTAAATAATACAAAATAAATAATTATAATATGGATTTCTGATAAGATTATTAACCAATCACGTCGCGCCACGTGTCATAATCGGTTCACAATCTTTGAGGATAGATTTCCATCAGATTTTAAACGAATGACGACATGCCACGTGTCATAATCTGTTAACAATCTTGGATGATAAATTTCCATCAGATTTTTAACGAATGACGGCATGCCACGTGGCATTATGCAGAACCTAATCCTTTCTGAATCCTCTATATAATCCACCATCCATCTTCACAAATCTCACACCAAAATTCTCAAGATCTCTATCATTGATCTCAAAATTTCTGCTTCCTTATTCACAAAAATCAGTTTCAATATTCATAGTTTCTGTTTCTTTCTTTCAATGTCTTCTTCTTCTTCCTCAAGGATGATGTGGGAATTGAATCAGGAAGAGGAAGACTTGTTTAACCAATCAGAATCAATGTTCAATCAGCAGGGGGTAAGAAATGAGAGGGAAGAAGATGAGGAGCGTCAAATGAGAGATGACGACGTAAGAAGGGGCAGAGCCTCACATTCCCGTCGAGTCATCCAAGCTGCGGCTCAGATCTGCAGGCCCAGGCGTTCCGGAAACATTGATAGAAGCAGGCAACGACGAGGTATGGAACTCTTGGATGATTATTTTGTTTCTAATAGTGCATTCCCTGATACGTACTTTAGACGTCGTTTTAGAATGGAACGACATTTGTTCAACAAAATCATGATTGCTGTTTGCAACCATGATTCTTATTTTGTGCAAAAAAAAGATGCTTTTGGTGCTATGGGTCTACTGCCGGAGCAAAAAATTACTGCTGCCTTGCGGATGCTTGCATATGGAGCATCTGCAGACCAAGTGGATGAGATAACGAGGATGGGGCAATCAACCATTCTTGAGTCCCTGATGAGGTTTTGCGGAGCAATCGAATCTATCTACACCGCTGAGTACCTCCGCAAACCCACACACATGGACTTGGAGCGGCTGTTGAAGAAGGCGGAGATGCGTGGCTTTCCTGGGATGATTGGAAGCATTGATTGTATGCACTGGACGTGGAAAAACTGTCCAAGTGCATGGCAAGGCGCTTACGGGGACAGAAAAGGGGCAAAAAGTATCATTCTGGAGGCGGTGGCATCTTTTGATACATGGATTTAGCACGCCTTTTTCGGGGTCCCGGGAGCTCAAAATGACATCAACGTCCTTGCCCAATCCCCAGTGTTCAACGATGTCCTGCAAGGAAAGGCACCAAAAGTTACATATGAGGTCAACGGACGTATGTACGACGGGCCATACTACCTAGCTGACGGCATCTACCCGCGCTGGTCAACATTTGTCAAAACCGTGCCACGTCCGCGGAGTGCGAAGGAAAAACACTTTGCAAGCTGTCAAGAGGGGTGCAGAAAGGATGTGGAGCGTTGTTTTGGTATCCTCCAAGCTCGCTGGGCGATCGTCAGGGGTGCGGCCAGATTGTTTGATGTAGAGTCGCTTCGATCCATCATGATGACCTGCATCATTCTTCACAACATGATTGTGGAAGATGAGTACGATTATGAAGCTGTTGATGAATATGAGCCAGACCCGATGAACAATTCAAGAACACGTATATATTGTGCTCATGACGCCACCGATGACCCCGTGCAACATGAGCCATTACAAAGGGATGGACGTTACAATGAAAGACTCATTCAACGATATACTGCATTTCAAATGCCAGACATGCACAATGCCCGACAAATTGACTTGATAGAGCACCAGTGGGCATTGAAACAAGCTGAGGATAATTAAGTTCATTTTAGTGTGTTATTTTGAATTTGGTATGTTTATGTTATTTTATTTGGTGTGTTTTATTATTTGGTATGTTTATGTAATTTTTTTATGTTTATGTTTATGTAATTTTTTTATGTAATTTTTTTATGTTTATGTTTATGTAATTCTTAGTATGTTTATGTTTATGTTTATGTAATTTTGTTATGTTTATGTTTATGTAATTCTTAGTATGTTTATGTTTATATTTATGTTTATGTTTAATGGACTTTTAACAACATAAATAACTTACCAAATTAAATAACTTACCAAATTAATTCTTAATATAAATAACTTACCAAATTAATTTGAATAAATATTCATGAACATGGAAACAACATAAATAATACAAACAATAAATAATAAATTACAACCCAAAGTGATTGGAAAATTATGGGCTCCGATTACAAAAAGTACTCTATTCATCATCACTTAACCAATTTGTGCTGCTAGGATGATCTTCTCTTGCGGTGCTAGAACCACCTTGGCTTGCTATTGTTTCTCTTGCACGCCTCCTTCGCACCACGTCCGCTTTGTCTGACTTCCAAAAAAATTTAGAATTTGGAGACTTCCCTTCTAAAGACATGTTCATAATCTCACGATCTTGTTGAGCTCGTCTTTCTTCTCTAACATGTTCCCTTTCTTGCCTAAGTAGCTCTCTTTCTCTCTCATTAGCATAAAATTCTCTCTCAACAGCTGCTGCTTTTGATGCCTTATCAGCCTTATCAGCCTCATCTTTCGCCAGTTCCCTCGCCAAAGTCAATTCACCTTGGCGAGTAAGTTCTTCCATGAACTTTGCATAATCGTTCTTGGAAGCACTCCCTTTTCTCTTTGTAGCCTTCTTACCTTGAGGCCTAATTGGAAAACGGGTCGAACCCGACGCTTATTCAGGGAGGGGCGTTTCGGGCACTTCTTCTGCATCATCTTCATGAACATGATCGGGTGTAGAGTTTAGAGGGGTGCTGTTCATGTGCACTTCTGGACCAACTGGCACAACTCTAAATTTAGGACAATCTTTGACAATATTCCAACATTCCCACCGGTTGAATGATTTATTTTTGCCTTTGGTTTTGGCAGCATACCAAGCTTGTGCTTGAAGTTCCTACACAATAAAAATAAGTAACAAATAAATAATACAAATAAATAATTATAATGAAAATAAGTAACTAGCAAATATATACATATATATATATATATATATATAAGTAACAAAGATAATGAAAATAAGTAACAAAGCAAATAAGAAGGCTTCAAGTTTAGTAAATAATGAAAATAATTAACAAATATATATATATATATATATATACATTAATTTTAATGAAAATAAGTAACAAATAAATAATACAAACAACATAATTATAATGTAACAAATAAATGTAACAAATAAGTAACAATAACATAATTATAATGTAACAAACAACATAATTATAATGTAACAAATAAGTAACAATAAATAATAAATTTTGTACGTAACAAATAAAGAATACAAACAATAAATAATAATATCTTGTTACCATATCCGAGTAATTTTCCCCACTTCGAATATTATTACTAGCTTGTGCCAAAGCGTCTCTCCACGTACTAAACGATTGGCTAAGTAATTTCCAACGACTGGACATCGATTCTTTGGTTCTTTTCCCACCAATTTTCTCAAGATAATTGGTATGAATAAGACTCCACATTTCTCGCAACTGCATCTCATTACCCGTAAGCGAACTATGAGTAACTTCAACCCAGCTAGTACACAACGCAACATCTTCAATAAGCGACCAATTCGTACCTGCACCAGTGGTCATTTTGTTGAAAAAAAATGGATTCAAACTTTGAGACAAAGAAAGGAATGTGATTGAAAGTGGTTGAGAAAATA